TTCCCCATTTTTCTTCGAGCTCAAGGACTTGGGATAGTATTTTAGTGGAAGTTTGGTGATGAATTCTCTCAGCCTTTCTTTGAAAATGTCCTTATTTTTCTTTCTCTTTTGAAAGATACTTTGAGTATAGAATTCCAGGTTGTCAATTATTTTCTTTCTTTCAGCAATTTGAAGATGTCATTCCATTGTTGCCTAGATTTCAGTTTAAGAAATCAGCCATCTAGTTACTTATTTGAAGTTAATATATTTTTCCCTCCTCTGCCTGCTTTTAAGATTTTCCCATGATTTTCAGCGTCTTACTATTATGTGTCTAGATATGGTTTGCGTTGCCATTTCTGCTTCTTGGGCTTTGAAGAGCTTCTTGAATTTACAGGTTGGTCTTTTGTTAGTTTTGAAAAAGTCTCAACAGAGCTATCAGAATTGCTTCCATGCATTCTCTCTCTCCCGAGACTCCAATTACACATATGTTTGAACTTTCCAACATGTCCCTTATGTTCTTTTTTGTAACTTTGTTTTTTAATCTGCTTTCAGTTTGGATACGTTTTGTCTTCTGTTGCGTCTAATCACTAGTTAAAGTCATCAATTGAGTTCTTAATTTCAGATACTGTATGTTTCAGTTCTAGAATTTCCTTTAGTTTTTAAAACAGATATAAATTTTCTGGTGAAATCTTCCATCATTTTACATACTTTTTCAAATTTTCCTCTATCTTGTTGAGCATACTAAAGTCCTTGTCTACTAACTCCAGTATCTGGATCACTGGTGGGTCTGTTTATCCCTCCTTGATTTTTGATCATAAGGTCCAGTCTTTTGGCTTGTCTGGCAATTTGTTTTTTGTAAAGAAGATTGTCCCTGAGCTAACATCCATTGCCAATCTTCCCGTTTTTGCTTGAGGAAGATTGTCCCTGAGCTAATATCTGTACCAATCTTCCTCTATTTTGTATGTGGGATGCCACCAGTGTGGCTTGATGAGCAGTGTATAGGTCTGTGCAGGGGATCTGAACCTGCGAACCCCAGGCCACCAAAGCAGAGTGTGCAAACTTAACCAGACTGGCCCCAGCAATTTTTCACTGAATGCTGAACATTGTGAGGCTCCACATATGAGATTTTATTCCTGCAGAGAGGACACATATCGTCCTCTGCCAGGCAGGGATGACCTCAAACCAATCAGAGGCTGAGCTGAGGTGGAGGCTGGGTTGCAGAGCTGGTACGGCAAAGCCTGCCTCTGTTTAGCCCATTCCTACATCATAGTCCTCCAGGTCTTTCAACTAAGAGTCTCGGGTGTTCACCAGGGCACCTTCCTGTGGTAGTTTCTGAACTTTATTGTTGTCCCAGTTAGCATAGTGATTCTGTTGAAAACTGTTCAAAAAAAATTTTTTTTAACTGTGGTAAAATACACACAAAATTGATTGTTTTCACTTTCTTAAACAGAGGTTTTTAGCATAACTTTTTAGCCTCCCATGCTGTACAGCCTCAACATTTGACCAACATCTTGAGGGAAATTGTGAGTGAGGCTCCTGAAGTCTCTAATTTTGCCACTCCAGCCTTGAGAGATTGTAGCGGGTCTGCTGGGCTCTCTGTATGCTTCCCCTCTTGTTGGTGAAGCCTGGACTTCCCAGCCTCCTGCCCCAGAGAAACACCATTAGCAGAATTTAGTTCACTTCTTGGAGGCTTCCCCTTGCTCTATGATTTTAGTATCTCTAGCCATTGTTGTTTCAGCAGCTCTCTAGTGCATTCAAAGAGACGATTTTTTGTCTAATTCATGCTACCTAGAAACCTGAATACCCTTCTCTAATTTAAATTTAGAGGCTTCCCCTAACTTGCCTGTATCTCTATTTTCCCAAGAATTATTGACTTAGGTTGTTAGGCCAATGCCTGGCTCACAGGAAATCCATCATCCTTCAAATTCTGAGTCCACTTTTTCTCCTAAATATCTCATCAAAACAGACCAATAATCTAAGGCTGGTCTGAGTTTTACCTTTTATTAGCCCCGGCAGCCTTTGGTGGAAATGGTAATGCACACTGAAAGGTCCCAGAGTCAGTCAGCATGAAAGAAGAGATTATCTGAGTGAGTAAATGAATAAACAGAAAAGAAAAAAAAGCAAATCTCTTGGACAAATCTCCAACTGGATAATGGTCACCCTTGAATTTGAGTGGAGAGCAATATATGTTAGGGAAATGCATTAGAAAGGATGCTCTAGGCCAACTACTGCTGGCCTATAAGTCAATCTTGCCTAGGATTTAGTAAATTGCTTTTGCCAGCCAAATACCCACTAAGTAATTGTTGCTGAATCCTTTAGTATGTAAAAAACAAAAAAGTTCGCTTTAGAATTATGGATGAACCCATTCCTATTTTTGTAAGTTTTATAATTATAAATGACATGTAGATCAAGGGTCTGTCCCCATTTCCAACGAGAAGCCTCGTCTGATTGATTCTTACTTCTAATGTTTCTCATTACCGTTGAGTTGGCTATAGGCTCACTGAGGAGAAACTATATCACATTCATCTCTGCACCCTCAGCGGCCACAGATCTGACCATAACTGACAATCATTAAGTGGTTGCTTGAATTCTTTCCTTCCCATCCCTACTGGCACCATCCTGGCCCAGGTGCTCTTCTTGCTTGGAATATTTTAACAGGTTACTAATTTTTTTTCTTGCACACCTGACTCTATACCTGACTACCCCCTGCCAAAAAAAGAACAAACCAAAAACACTTTATGCCTGATGATTCTATCTAAATAAATGCATTACTACCCAGCTCAAAATATTTTCAGTCAGGAGATGATTGAAGCCTAACATTTTGCTGTTTAGTTTTCCCTGTTGTCTTAAGCAATACTTCCTAGATTTGCCTCATACTAACGATTGGGAACTTGATAAAAATATAAATGCTCGGGCTACACCTGAATTAAAATCCCCAGGGGAGCAATCTAATCTCTTTATCAAGCATCTGGGTGACTTTTATGAATAGGTCCTTGTACCAACAGCAGTAGGATCACCTGGGAACATGTGAAAAATGTAAATTGGGCCCCCTATCCACTTTGGGGTGGGACCCAGCAATCTGTGACTTAATAAGCCTTCCAGGTGATTTTGATGTACACATTAAAGTTTGAATAACACTGAACTAGCCTGTAACAATGACTTAGGGCAGCGGTTCTCAAACTTGGCTGCATTATACTAGAATCACCTGAGGAGCTTTTAAAAAAATGCTGATACCCAGACCTTACCCCAGATATTCTGATTTAATTGGTCTGAGGTGCAGCAAGCATTTGACCGGGATATCAGGATGCTGAGACTGAGGTAACCTGCCATCCATAACTCATTTCACAACTATGTATTTATCTCGTCTCACTGATTAGATTTATAACTAAAGGTGATAAATTTGAATGCTCAAAACTTATGCCCTTAAAATATCAGTGTTTGTTGAAGTTCTGTGTGAGATTTAATTCGAATAAAGGGATCTGCTACTAACGGTTTGAAAACCACAGGCCTACAGACTCAAGTCTAAACTCTTTAGTCTTGCTGTTAAGACACAAGTTTACTGCCTCTCTTACTAACAGCCCACAGCTCTCCTCTCTAGCTCTAATAAATATCTAGGAAGTGTGCTTCCTAGCACCTAGGATGGGCAGAGAGCCCCAGGCTGAGGCCTCAGACCACATTCTAGTCCCAGCTCTTTGGGATGTCGGTGAGTCACTAAATCACTTTGTGCTTCTGTTTCCTCATCTAAAGTGAGGGGCTAGAACCAAACTATCTCGAAGGTTCCTTCTGACTCAGTATTTCAGCATTTCCACATTCAGCTTAGTTTCCCAGCTTAGACTGCACTGTCTCTTCTTCTCTGCTCCTCTGGGTTAACTCATCCTGAGGCACAGTTCAAGTTCTAATTATCCTTAACATTTCTTCGGCACTCAGTCTAAGCTTCTTTGACGTCTTCGGCATCTTTCTATGTTTGTGTCTGGTCTCCCACTGGGTAATAACAGGATCTCACATATCTCTTTGTATTCCTCATCGCCTGGCCTATGGTAAGTACACAATGTTTGTCTATTTTTTTCTCAGGACCATGAATTATTGCCTCTGCTGTTTGTTTTATTCCAACGATAGCTATGTTGAAAGCTCACTTTTGCCCAATGAGCTTTCATTACTGTACCAAAGGTTCCCAACTCATATCCTATTAATCCTAGAAATTTTCTTTTATGATAGTCCTATTCAGTCCCTCATTTCCACTGATAGCTCCAAAATATTCTCCAAAAATAGCTCTCTTCTGGCCTCTGCTGGCGTGATATTAATTCTTTGCTTACGTGCACGCTAAAGGACTCAAGTGTAAGGACACTCCAGTTTTCTAAGGAACTATTCTAACTGCCTCAACTCAGCAAAAAGAAAGATTCTGAGATGTCTCAAACTGCTAGGCTTGTTGAGAATAGACACCTTGATGGTAAAATTTGAGATATATTTCAAATGTTTTTCTTTTTTTTTTGAGGAAGATTAGCCCTGAGTTAACATCTGCTGCTAATCCTCCTCTTTTTGCTGAGGAAGACTGGCCCTGAGCTAACATCCGTGCCCATCTTCCTCTACTTTATATGTGGGACGCCTACCACAGCATGGCTTGTCAAGCTGTGCCATGTCCAAACCCAGGATCCAACCCCGGCCACCGAAGCGGAACGTGCACACTTAACCGCTGTGCCACTGGGCTGGCCCCTCAAATGTTTATTTCTGAAGTGGCATTTTTCAAAATTAAATTCATGTTTGTTATCCTAAGATGTCATGGATAATGGACTAAGTCTTAGCTATGTGTTTCTTTAAAAGCTGGTTCTTTTGGAGAAAATTTGTCAAATTTTGCCTGACTTTGATACTGTACTTAGTATTGTGCCTGGTAAAGATAAAGAGCTTGATAAATGTCTGTTAAATAAATGTATTAGTATCTTTTAGTTTACGTAACACTATTCCTTTTTTGTAACTGAATTATGAATTCACTCAGTCCGGGGAGGAATCTTTGCACTCTTTTGCAGTTCTTTCTTTCAGATGGCCTAGGAATGTCCTCTATGAATTTTTACATACATCTGCCAGACGCAGTTTAAATTGAATTACCGACGCACTGAGCCTACCAAGAGCAGCCTTTCCAGTTGGACTTTGGGAAAATTTTTCACAACAGGAAAGGGATAAGGAGATATTCCTCAGCCTCATTTTGTTCTTTTCCTAAGGTAGCACACTATGTCTTCTACACACATTTGGGTATCCATGATTGATTCATTCAAACTGCTTGCCTTTGACAACCTTAGGTTTCAAATAGTTTAAGCAAAATGCCTGCTTGTTGAAGGCAGGAAAGGCGTTACTCAAATGCTGAGTGGGGACGTACAGTTTCTGTATGCTCTCAAAGCTTAAATCAGAGGTCTTCAACTTTAAGAAGCTCACAGGCAACCTGGAACTATACATAACTACATATAGACAGTGATTGATATATATTTGTATGAAAATATTGTCTTACATGCATAATGTTTTACAAATGAATAAAGCCCTTTTATATACATCATCTTCCTAAAGTTAAGTTTGAGTGCACTATGTGTCATACACTGCAGTTCTGCATTTAAACACATCCTTCTAACTCAAGTGTTTTTAAACCTCTTAGCTTGTCTATTTCATCACTTCATTTAAAGGCATAGCTGGTCAATAGCAGACAAAAAGGGAGAGAGACCTCAGTTTACTCACTCAGGTGGCTGAGGATAAAATGAAGAATGCTAATTATAAAGGTGTAGGGGCACTTGCCAGCATGCCCCCTTTAAAACCATGTGTCCTGGAGGCTCCTTGTCTGGGCTACACCCCAGCACTCCTCATGCTGACAGTCCTGGGCTTGCTTAACCCAGCTGTTTTCTCGTGGGAGAGTTAGCACAGAGACCACCGCAGTCTGAGGGAACATGGAGGCCCTCCAGGGGGGCTCTGGCCCTTGGAATGTAGGTCATACAGGGACAACCCCCTTGGCAAGCACGCAGCCTTTGTTCCTCTGTCTACTTAAGCAACCTTCTCTCAGGGGGCAGCTGCGGATGCACACTGCCTGTCCAGCTGACTGCCACTGGACCTTCCCCATAAGTAATTCCCCAATAAACCTATATGTCTCATTCGCCATCTCCGGGTCTTTTCTCCAGTCTCTGGGCAATCTATCCTGTACTGATCACCCAGCTGGGTCTGTGGCAGAACAGAAGGGTTGGATGGCTATCAAGCTACTATCAGGTAGACAATCTTTTGCTGTCTCTGCTTAGGCTGCCTTTTGAAAAGTAAAATCCATTGGAGGTATATGGTCTAACTGCACATCCTGTGGTGCCCTGTTCCATCTAGGTGTCTCTCAGACTCCTGGCCTTCAGAAGCACTATACTACAGTAAATACAAGCTCTGATTCTGGAATTAGGCAATCCTGGGCTCTAATTTCCTCTCAGTTATTAGAGGTAGCCAAGTGACAATTGTGGCTATTGAGAAATATGGAAAGTTATTGGGTGGGGCCTGCTGGAAAACTTTTTAAACAGGGATAAAAACAAGTAACACGTGCTTTTTTTCTTCTCCCTTCTTCCTGTCTAGACTATGGACATGATGCCAGAGGTGGCATAACCATTTTTTAGTCACAAGGATGAAGATCACACACATGAAGACCACACACAAAGCAAGAAAGGGCAGAAAGGTAGAAGAAATCTTGGTCCATGAAGGCATCATGGAGCTGCATTACCAGCCTTGGACTGCTGACCTCTAGACCTTTTTTTTGGCTAAGGAAGATTGGCCCTGAGCTAACATCTGTTGCCAACCTTCCTCTTTTTGCTTGAGGAAGATAGTCGCTGAGCTAACATCTGTGCCAATCTCCCCCTACTTTATGTGGGCTGATGCCACAGTGTGGCTTGATGAGTGGTACTAGTTCTGTGCCTGGGATCTGAACCTGTGAACCCTGGGGGACCGAAGTGGAGCGCATGAACCCAACCACTATGCCACTGGGCCGGCCCCATCTCTAGATTTTTTAATGTGAGAAAAATAAAATCAGTCATTTGTTGTTTAATCTGTGTTTTGGATCTTTTTTTGCAGCCTAATGTTAAACCGATATATAAATTCACAAATTTTTTGAGGATTAATAGAGAAAAGTCTATAAGAGCACAACACAGTTCCTGGCATATAGTTAGTGACCAACGAATGGCTGCTATTATTTTGGAGAGATGAGTTGACTGCTAGTAGAGAACAAAAATCAAATATAGGATAAACAACTTGGGAAGGGAAGAAAACTGTTGAATAGAAGCTATGATAGGGTAGTAAAAAATTCAGAATCACATTCAGAGCCAAAAAATGTACGCAGGGGATGTGACATATAGTAGATATTCAATGTATGTAATTTCTTTTCCAATTCTATTTGTGAGAACACAAACTGATGTCATTTATTCACATGAGAACTTTGATCAATGAGGAAGACAAGACTAAGCAAAGAGATTTTTAGGAACTCTGAGAAGTAAAGGTTATACTATAAGGTTATTTAGATTTTAGTGAGGCATTCCATTCAGTGTCTCATGTACTCCTGCTTATGTAATACTGTCAAGATACGAATTAAAGGAATACACAAAAAAGACTGATAAAATGACACCAGAAAAGGTGACACAGATGTGGTCAGTCATCTTAATGAACAGACACCAGATACTAGAGGAATAGAAAGTTGTTAAATAGAGAAATCTATTTTAAAATAGAGAGATCTACCAAATTAGAAGTTCAAAACATTAGTCAATCCAGAAAAACAATACAGCTGAACTCAAACACATGGGTAGAGAAGAACTCAACAAATTAAGCTTGAAAACTCCACCGGAAAAAAAAAATATGATGAAAACATGTGAAGAGTTGTAATATTAGAAACAGATCAGAGGATGACAATTTATGGTACATAGAAAGGAAAAAAAGCTGACATTTGTGGTCAGCTAGAAAGGAATTCACTACAGAGTAGTACCTCATTTCAAGTCAACAAAACAAAGAAGCTGGAAAGTTAAAAGGACTCTTAAAATATAACATTTTTTCCCCTACAATTTAAATGTCAGACATTGGAATGACTTACAGAAGAGGAACTGATTAAGAGAATGAAAATTTGTAACGATTAACAGGCAGTCACTGCTGCATGTAAACACCAATGGAGGATGGAGTACAAAGACGAGGTCTGAAAGGCAACAAATCACAGACAAGGACCATATTTTCCAAATTGTAATTAGGTATTACCAAATACAGTAAATAAACAACTCTTAAGTTAGAGTGCAAAATGAAAGCACCTTATTGTTTTAAAGGTGCAAAAGCAACTACATACAACATACACTTATCCACATTTTAAATAGTTGTTTGTATGGTGGTTAAATGCCATTTAAAAATATTTCAATAGAAAAATGATTTATAAATCAGTTTACAGAAGATCAAAAAAAAATCAATGTTTAATACCAACTTTAACTATAAATAACTAACAAGAAGAAAAACTGTGCTCTATCCTGTTTTTGCTTCAATACCTATGTCTTCTGCTCCTTGCCTTTTGGTGAAAACATTGCATTGTAAGGCTGCCGTCTTTTTGGACGAGGACAAGGATCAAGATCTTCCTTAATGTAACCTTAAAAACAAATCACAAATTTAGGAGACTATATTTACAACATACATTTCTTTCAGTATACATCCAGTAAACATCTGTCTTGTTTAATGCCTTCTAAGTTGACATGATTCTTCTGATTATTAGCCGTGTGACGCTGACGAATGATTTCACCACTTAGCATGAGTCTTCTCATTTATACTAACAATAACAGCAGCAAACATTTATCAAATGTGTTGTATACATTACCTCAGATAATGCTCAAATTCCTTTGAAGTAGCTTCCACTGTACCTATTTCACAGATGAGGTACTAGAGACCCAGGTAAGCTAAGTAGCTTGCTCGAGTTCCCAAAGCTAGGAAGCAGAAGAGCTGGGACCTTACCCAGGACCTAACTCCAGAACTAGAGCTCCCAAGCACTCTCCTATTCTGTTTCCCACAGGTTGCAAATGGGGACAATGCCTGAACACAAACTCTTTACTATTTTGATAAATTCTAGGTGCTTATCAAAAAGACTTTTTGTGCAGCCAGCCCCGTAGCTGAGTGGTTAGCGTTGTGCGCTCTGCTTCGGCGGCCCCAGGTTTCGCTGGTTCGGATCCGGGCCACGGATACGGCACTGCTCATCAAGCCATGCTGAGGCGGCGTCCCACATGCCACAACTAGAAGGACCCACAACTAAAAATATACAGCTATGTACTGAGGGGTTTTGGGGAGAAAAAGGAAAAAAAAAGACTTTGTGGTAGCCCTTTCATCAGATGATATGCCCCCATACTCTTCAGACTATTCACTTCCCCTAAGGTGTCTCCAATCACCTGGTTTGCAGGGGAGGACTTGCTCTGCCATACCCCTAGGCCACATTAGGGATGCAAACACAGGCTCTATCCAGATTGTCTGTTCCGGTTTGATGATGAGGCAGAGACATCATGTAAAGAGGACTTAACCTGACTTGTTAATGGGTCAGGTGGCAAAGATGGTAACAGCTGTCACTTTGCATCTTTTGGAAAAACTATCTTGCCACTAAATATCAGGAGCTTTAAAGCTGCATACATTCTCAATTATATTAAATACAAGTGCCACATCTGGAGGAGCTAGGTGCATGTCAACAATCTTCTAAACAAACAAAGCTCCTTTTAATTCATATTATAGTTTATAAACACTCAGCATTCTGGATAAGTGAGGTTTTAAAATCTAAAAATCAGTCGTCATTCTAAAAAGATGCTCTTTTTTAACAATATAATTTTGCTGCCATTTGTTATAAAATTACTTATTTTATTAAAACTCATTTTGATGACAGGATGAGAGAAACTGCTTCTGAAATTTGAATGATGAACCAGGATAATGCACACACAACCACACTAAAGTGATTATAAACAATCTCTGATTATGATGAAATTACTTGAAAAGTTGAAGGTAGGGTTTTATCTTTAGGAATTTGTTTTTATGTCACAAAACCAGCACCTAGTTTGCAGCAGAAGGTAAAGAGAATCATGGAGAAAAAGTTTAATGTTTAGACCTGGGTATATACAGTATTAAAAATAAATTAATTCCAAAATGTTATAATCTATACTCTCACCTCTTTCCATACAAGTCTGAGTGGAAGGAAAACCAACTTCCCAGAAATGCTCTGGTGTGTTGGGTGGAATGTAGCGGAATCGGTGTCTCGAGCAGGAAGCCAACTTCTTTTCTCTTTCTTCTGCTGGAATATCTGCATAATACTAATAATAAAAACTGGTAAGTTTTTCACTTAGGCATACTAAATAGAGTGCTATGTTTACTGATCATAAACGAGAAGCTAAGAAAGCTATGAAGCATGCTAAGAAAACTTAATACTTCCTGATAATATTAATAATTAATACTTATAGATAGTATTAATTACTTATTAACAGTAATTAGTGCTGGTCTGTGAAATATTTGCTTCACAAATGAGAAAAGGAGCTTGTATCACAATGTAGATTAATATACTGCTTCCTGCTTCCTCCATCAATAAACTCTTACAATGAAAATAAATGCCAGTCAAACTTGACAGTGTGCTTAGGGACATAGTTGATTTATATATTGGTGCAAACTCCTCATCTTTGTCAGACCAGTAACAAAAATGCAGAGGCTTGCACTGTGAAGAGCACTTTTCTCAACTGTTATTTGGATATAATGTGTGTTTTGAAGTTATTTTCCTATCTCTACAATTTCTAAAAAAAGTTTAGCTTTGAAGTTTAGACTTCATGACTTCCCCCTTAAACTGTATTTTTCAATAAGGATCAAAGGCTTATCATTTTTTGTAACCGTAGTCATAAAGAACCTGAACTTCATGCAAACAAGGATAAAACCTATGTAAAACCTGTGCAGGTCTTCAAGCTCTAGATCTAAAGAAAACAAAGCAGTAGTGTACAGTTTAATAGAACACAGACGACAGCATCACATAATGCAGACAATTCCATTTTACACTTGAGAAATTGAAAATCAAAGCGAAAATTTACCGAAGATATCACCTATTGAAAGTGGCAGACTTAGGAGTAGAATTTAAGCTTGAAGTAAAGGGGTTTTTTTGAGGAAGATTAGCCCTGAGCTAACATCTGCTGCCAATCCTCCTCTTTTTGCTGAGGAAGACTGGCCCTGAGCTAACATCTGTGCCCATCTTCCTCTACTTTTTTTTAATATGTGGGACGCCTGCCACAGCATGGCTTGCCAAGTGGTGCATAGGTCTGCACCCGTGATCCGACCCGGCGAACCCCGGGCAGTGAAGTGGAACATGTGAACTTAACTGCTGCGCCACTGAGCTGGCCCTGAAGTAAAGGTTTTTAATATATTTTTATTTTACATAGATTAATTAAAGGCTTTAGAGTATCTCTGAAACAACTTTTTTGGGGGTATCTTTTTCATTATTCTCATTGCCATGAGTATACTAAGCCTTTGTTACCTTAGCCTAGGAACTGGGATGGGATGGCCTTAGAGAATCATGGTTATCAATCAATGTTAGAGAAACAATGCCACCACATTACAACATGTTTACAAAACAGCAGGTTAGTGTAGCTGTAACACAGCAAGCAAGTGGGACAGCAGTAGGACACAACGCCAGAGAGGAAGTGGGGTGTCAGAGTTTGTTGTCTTTGATAAGGACTTTGGATTCTATTTCTTAGTGAGATGAGAAGACTTTTAAGGGTTTTTGGTAGAGGAGTGACATGATTTAACTTTTATTCTAAAAAAATCATTATAAAAAAAGACTATTCATTGCTGCTTTGAAAATACATTTGAAGAGACAAGAACGAAAAGAAAAGAATGGGGACAGGAGTATATGAGAACTCTCTGTACTTTCTGTTCAATTTTGCTCTGAACCTAAAACTGCTCTAAAAAATAGTTTATTACTAAAACAAATGAATACACACAAGGAGGGCAACTTAGAAGCTATCTCAATAGTCCAGACAAGATGAAATGGTGCCTCGGTCCAAGGGGTTAGTGGTGGAGATAATAAGCGGCTGGAAACGGAAATATGTAAGAAAAGAGTAGAGGATAACTACAAGACTTTTAGTTTAAACAACTAGAAGAATGGACATGCAAGAGACTCACAGGTGAGGTTTGGGATTTGGAAGTAGAAAATCTAAGTTTGCTTTTAGACATGCAAAATTTGAGATGACTATTATACATCCACCTGTGTATTACATCCTCTACATGTGGATTAGGCAAACGGATGCATTTAGGAACTGTAAGCATACAGATAATATTTAAATACATGGGACTGGCACTTTCACTCCTGGTTATGAGGAATTAAGAGAGAACAGATTTACCCTTGTACCTTAAACAACCAAAAAAATGGAATAAAATGTATGAAACAATGGTTTTCAGAGATTGGATAACAACTCAGAAAATGATTCCTGAGAGAAGGAAAGCAAATTAACAGTGTTTCTAGCAAAATAACTTTTTTCTAACTGGTAATATTAATTCCAGATTGTAACTAAAGACTGGAGGTTTACTTAGTGTGGACTGTGTTCCTTAGTTAAGAAATCATGAAATATTCAAATTGTGCTATGAAACTCATCATACAGGAGGTTTTACTTGTATTGCCAAACTGCTTTCCAAAATAGTGATCCTAATTTAGACTTCCACTGTTAGTGTATGAGCGCATATTTCTCACCAAATGCTTACCTACACTGCAATCTATTCACATATAACCTTAATGTGCTTGGTTATCAGATTTTTTAGCCCATAGTTGTTAAATAGGAAATTTAAAAGGGGAAGCAAATTGCTAAAAGCAAGCATCTGATAGCTAATGGATAGCGACAGAAGAAATAAAAACAGCAAGTTTCAAGAAAATAGAGAACCTGCCTGGGAATACTTAGTAATAGGACAATTAGTACCATCTACTTCAACAGTCCAAGACAGCCAATGTACAAAAGGAAAACACAGTTGTGTTCTAAGAATGAAGTAGAATCTATTCATCACATTTTGTCTGGGAAGGAAAATGGGGAAAAAAATAAGAGTTTATGGTTATACCAGTTATTTAGAAAAAATATTTATGAGTACATCATTTCCCAAGAGTACTGGTATGAGTAATAAATGTTATATTAACGTTTCCTGTTGAAATATGAAAATTTTTCCCAAAGAGTGTATATCTATCTATCTGTCTATGAGCCTTTGCTGTAATATAACACAAGGGGAAAAAATTAAAAGAAATACAAATAAATATAGAAGAGAAAAATGGCACAAATGTCTTAGGCTGGTAATAAAAACCAGGGCTTAGGCTCCAGATTCACTTAATGAAAATCTAAGAGAAATGGAGGGCTTTCACTTTCACCTATTTATATCTCTCAGGTCCCAGTCAGTATGCTCTACTTATGCATCCTCTTATTCCTGGCTCAAACTAGGTTTCTAGACACAAATATGGTTTGTACCTATGATTTTTAAATCATGCATTTATGATCCATAAAGCCATACTTAAAAAAAACCAAACTGGACAGTATTTATATTAGTACTTACAATTTCACATTCCTTACATGTGTGTCCAAGCAATTTTCTTCTCTCTTCTTTTTTCCGAACCACCTCAATATGAGGAAAATTTTGTAAGCTAGTCTCTCTAGGGGAAAAATGAATTAAATTTAAAATCAATCTATTTATTACTACAAAGATCTTTGGGTTAGGCTTTAAATTAACAAAGATGAGAGCCCAGAAGAGAAATAACCCCAAAACATTCATTCATTTTATTTGAAATGCTTATTCAGTATGTTAGGAAAACAAGTATTTCTTCATTCATTTTCATTAAACATCTATTGTGCCTACTATATGTGAAGTATTTTTACGGATATTTTTCTCCAACTGAAGAAAGATAACTATTACTTCCTATTTTTGCCTCTGACTGGCTGAAAATAATAATTAGGTTAGGAGGCACAGTATAAAATAACCTTTAATTAAGAGGGAATAGTGTATTAATAAACTCAGGAACTGGTATTCCATAACATAACCAAGAAAGAGAACACTGCCTCTGTTAACTCAGTTTCTAGTACTACAAATCCATGTTTCAGGGATAACCTACTATTCCCCAAAGAACACACTTATTTTCTCAAAATTTCTTTTGCTGCTTCCATCTACCCTGACTTCTTCAAAATATTAGGCACAATTATCATTTTTGCTTGTCCTTAAATGGATCAGCTCCTGTTCACTGAAAGCCTAGGAAGGGTCAAAGCCACCGAGGCATGGGTTAATGAGGTACGGAGTACCTTGGGAAGAAAATCCATCAGGAAACACAGGACATTTTTTAAATTAATATATTTGTATCCTGCTTTAAAAAGCCTAATATAGAAAAATCCAAACTCACAAGATAGGTAGAATTACATGATGGCATATTTTTAATAATAGAAACATCCCCAAAAAGCTTAAACAGTCTGATTAACAAAAAGTGATTTTTAGAATGACTTGTTGGTAACACATCTACTCCTTTGATGTATTTTGGTCACATGACCCTCTAGGTGGCAAGCACTTTCCTTCAACAGAGAGCTTTACTTGCTCTATTTCAAAGTATATGAGGTTACAGGTCCTTTTTGTGCTTAAACTCAGGAAGTCTCAACTCTGGAGCAATCTTTAAATTAAAAAAGGGAGACTAAGAAAGGACAGATAAAAAATATTGCCATAACTATATTTTCTTTCAAATAGTTTATGAATCTTAAGCTTATGTAGGATATAATTTGGTCACATCCTTTCCTCTGAATACTATCTATTCTGTCTCTGTAGTGTACCATAATGCAGCAGGGAACCTACTAGAAGACTGGCATCTGGAGTAGACCTCAAAGCGCCACCCAAGGTTCCTCAGCTTCTTGTCCCTGACACAACACGACCCGTCTTCCCAGGGTTTGCCGTATTCTCCATGGGGAAAGGAACCACCCTAACTCTGAGACTTTTACCACCCCTACATCTTTATCCATCTCCTGCATCTCCAGCTTTCTAACGGTTTCAGAATAACTAAAACTACTCATCTATTTTTTTTAAAAGTTAGTGAACCTCTAACATGAACCTTTTGAAATGGCAGCCCTTACTCTGCAATCTTACTTCTAGGAATCTATCCCAAAGATGCACAGGCAAAAATTTGAAAAGAGAATGCACAAGGGTATTCACTGTGGCACTGTGCATGCCAGCATAACTGTAAACAACCCAAGTGCCCACGGCTAGGCAATAAACTACGGTACAGTCAAACAATGAAGTACTATGAAACCAAAAAAAAGAAATGAGGGAGGACTATATACTATTATGAGTGATTTCCAGGACATATAGTTAAATGAAAAAAACAAAGTAGATAAAAGCGTATACGGCATTCTACCATTTGTCTAAGGGGAGAGAGTGCGACTAACTGCACCTATGTTGATATAGATATACGTGGAGAGAAATTTGGTTTTATTTTTTAAAATAAATGGAAAACCACAAATTTCAAATGGTTACCCATGGGGATGGAGAGCTAACAGGGTGAAGGGAACAAGGACAGAAGCTAGACTTATCTGAATACATCTTGTTTTGTAGCCTCTGGTACCATGTATACAATTTACCTAAGTTTAAAAACGAATTAAAGAGAAAGTAACTCCTAAAAAATCAGAATCAAAACAAAACAAACCTGGGTACTAGGTTGGTGGCATAACTACACAGAAAATAATTATCCTAAGTGACTTTACAACATAGTGATATGACTGTACATTTCTGACAGGATATATCTTAAGGACAAAAAGATACAAAAAAGTCTGAAACCATTTTCATAAAATATCATAAAATAGTAGTCTGTACTATTCTGAGACTGTTCTCTTTGTGTATTGTGGAATAAAGTTAAATCAGGAACGATGCTGGTGGCACTGAGAAGTGGGATTTTCAGTAGGCAGGAAAGTAGAGATGGGACAGAGGGTTACGTAAAAATCCTGTAGTCCTGAACTTGAATTGGAGCTATGAGTATGAACAAGTGTAGTTTAACTGAATAAAACAAAATGAAATAAAACCTTATTTCTAACTCTGTCCACCTAAAAGATCTAGAAACAATGACTAATCACAGCAATGAGCAACCCCAGCAGCCAGACTGTGGCCTAAATATCATTTCTCACTAAAAGAAACTGAGGGTCCTGGAGAAATGGCAGATTCCAGGCCTATGGCAGAAAGTGTACAAGACAGTCTAGAACATCTTATTATACAAGAAGTAACGAATGTATGAAAGACGACTAAGGTAGTATCCATTCAAAGAGGCTTCTACTGGGCAAAGATGGGACAATTTGAGTATCAATAAGGATTAATAACTGCAATGAGTTGAGACATATCAAATATACTTAAATCCATGAATTCATAATGATACTTAAACAACAAACTCTCTGGTCACACTTGAGATGCTAGGGTACTATTTCTTTGAAAAACTGGTAAATAAAAGAAAAGAATCATTTAGCAATAAAATGACAGCTCATATCCATTAGTCTTATAGGCATCAATAAAAATTTGGCCTGTCAGATTTTTTAAATTCTTGATAGATATAAAAATAGAAGGAATAACTTTGCTTACTAAGTGACTCAATTTGCCAACAGCATAACTTAAAGAAAAAAAAGCAAAAGATTTTTCTTGAATGAATTACTGTGCCTTAGTTCACTTCTGGAATCAAGAGTATATGACTAAAAATTACAGAATTTGCAATCTTTGCATAAAAGGCAGAAAGTAGCATTATAGTTCAAAGTCATGTTTAAAGTTTTTTTTTTAAGGTTTAAAAATTCTCATAAAATAATTCTAAAGCATAATCTAAGGCTTGCCACCTAAAGTCTCAAACTATATAAAAGTTACAGTATACAATTTAAAAAATTCCCAAATAAAGTTCACAAAAAAGTAGACTAGGAGTAAAGTGTTGTAATAAAGCAGAGAAAATAACTATCACCACTGTCAGAAAAAGGGTAGTGGTGGTGAAGTTTTTTTAATTTAAAAATTTGTCATTTTTATGCTTGAGTTCTATCTTTGTTATGGTCATAAAGTAAACGATATGCATTCTATTTTAATCAAAGTAGCAATGTGAACAGCTCAAAGATACTCTGACAAAGATAGCTCTGTTGTACATCCAATCCCATTGCTGGTATTAATCAAAACCTACTTACCTTTCATTATCTTTAAAATACGGCTCCACAAATGCTTTCTGTTTGACTTTATCTTGTTTATCACCATGAGCTGTAAACAAGCATACCACAAAGTGAATGTAGACCTTACTGAGAAACAATTAGCTTTTTTTTTTGAAATAAAAAAGGGCATGTGCCAAACTTCCATTTTTATTTGGTTTCACACTCTAGGTCCCTGGGCAACTCGTTTTTCCTTTCTTTTTCATCTTCACAATGAGGAGAGCACAGATTATCTTGCTTACCTCAGAGTTACTAAAGAGATAAAAATCATATCTATAAAAGTATTTTAGACTTAAAAACTAGATATAAAAGTACACACATATTGACTATAAATGAAAGTATTTTAAGCTTTAGAAGAACTACTCATACACTCGTTATCATTTGGCACCAAATAACAAGATAGCTTTTAATGTTTCACTTACTAGTCTTGTTGATTTTTTATAATGTGTCTTTAAGGTGGGTTATAACTAGGAAATAAAGAGATTAAAGAATTTTATCAGAAAACTGGTGACAAAATAAGAACTAGAGCTCATGGACCTCAATCCCAAGTTGTCTAGACTCAAACAGCCCATTGCCATCATCTATTCAAATAATGGACCTTTACTAAGCTTTGTACAAAGTTCTGGACAAAGAATGTAGAACGTGAGAGACCAGATCTCCTCTCCTCATGGGGTTTACATTGCAGTGAGGGAAACAGACATTAAGCAAGCAGACACGTAAGGCTTATCTGAGGAAGAACACGTAAGGTGGTAACTGATGAATAAAAAGAAGTCAGCCGTGAGAAGAGTTAGAACAGGAAAGGTTTTGAGAGAGGAAAACGTGCGGTATGCCCTAAGAACTAAGAGCAGGCCAGAGGGGTTGAGATTTAGTGAAGAAAGTGTTGAGGGAGAGGTGGGCAGGTATCAGATCACAATGGGCCTTGAAGGCCCAAAGGAAAGGAGTTTGAATTTTATTCTAAGTGCAACAGGAAGCCACTGAAGACTCAAATTTACTTTGTTGAGGCATAATTTACATACAATATACACTGATTTTAAGTGTACTATGAGGAATCTTGACACGTGCATATTCCACTATAACTGCCACCCAAATCAAGACAGAGAACATTTCCATCACCCCTGGAAGTTTTCTCCTATTCTGCTGTTTCTCATGCACAAAAATATTCTCTCACGTCCCTTCCTTCCCCTACAATCACTGATTTGATTATCACCATAGCTTAGTTATGCCTGTTTTAGAACTTCAGATTACTGGGAGTATATGGTATATATTCTTTTTCATCTTTCGCATTTTTCTAGCTCAACAAGTTCTGGAGATTCATCCACGCTGTTGAGTCTAGTAGTTCTCTCCTTTTTGTTGAGAAGTAATATTCCATTATATGAACACACCACAGTTTACATTTCTTCACCTATTGATGGACATTTGGGTTGTTTCCAGTTCTGAGCCATTACAAATAGCACTGCTACGAAAATTCTTGAACACATCTTTCTGTGAACATGTTTTCATTTTTCTTGGGTGTATACCTAGGAGTGGAACTGCTGGATCACTGGAATTGCTGAGGATAGATGTATGTGTAACTTTACAAAAAACTGATCAACCTCCATAAAGCTGTTTTAAAAACCCTGCTGAATTGTTTCCAAAGTACAGTTTCATACTCCCACTAGCACTGTTTGAACATTCCAGTTCTCACCCTTGCTAATACTAGATATTATCAGTCTTCTTAACCATTCTAGTGGGTGTGAAGTGGCATCTCTGTCCCTGATATCCAATAATATTGAGCATATTTTCATATACTTATTGGCCACCCAAATATCTTCTTTCCCCTAAAGGGTTTTAGACAAGAAGATAATATAATCTAATTAAAAAAAAAATCACTTTTGAGTCTCTGTAAAGACTGGACTAGAGAGGAGAAATGACTGATATAAAAAGACCAGTTAGAAGGCCTACAACAAAACAGGTAGAGTTAGAGTGGTTTAGACTAGGGCAGTAGCTACAGAGAGGGAGAAAAGTGAAGTGTTATGACATATCTTCTGGAGATAGCACTGCCAGGGTATTAGACTGGACATAAAGGAGAGGTGAAAGAAGTCACATATGACTCCTACGTTTCTATCTTAAGTAACTGGGAGGACAGTTACTGAGGTTTAATGACACTCAGAAAGGCAGGGGAAGATCAAATTTGGGTAGAAAAATAAATATTTCTAATTTGAATATATTAAGTTCAAGGAGCTCATAATATGTCAAATAGGTAGTTGGACTCAAGTGTGAGGTGCAGAAGAGAGAGGATGAGCCTGCGAGTGATGAATATACAGAAACATCTTTTTCACTTGGCTTCCACAACAGCATATACGCTTGTTTCCCTCCTACTTCACAGGCTGCAGCTCCTTTTCAATTTCCTTTGCTGGTTCTTTGTTTCTCCCACCTTTTAAAGTTGCCATACACCAGAAGTCAGAACTTGCAATGCTTCTTTTTTCTATTTATATTCAGTACTTTGGTGATCTCACTCAGTTTCATGTCTTTAATAACCATCTCCTTGCTGTTGACCTCCTGCCCCCCAAATCATTTTTTTATTCTGAGTTTCTTGTCCAAACTCGACACATATCAACAGTCTACTCAACAGCTCCATCTGAAAATCTAGTAAGTATTAATACATCCAGAACTGAGCTTTTGATGTCCTCCCTGAAACTTGCTCCTTCCTGTGAGGGAAGACTAGGTAGACTCTGTGATATGAGGGTCAAGAAAATGAAATAAATGGACAAGAAGTCTTAAATTACATGCCTGGGTGACTGGGAAAAATAAAAATGTCTGAAAGCTCACTTGGTAAGAAATAAATGGAACTTGGCTTAGAAATGTGACGTTTAAGCTGTTGAAGAGACACAGAAGTAGCGATACTAAGAAACGCAGGACTGAGATCCATCAGAGAAGTCAAAGTAGAGTTGCAGATTTGGAATCACATTTTCAGAGGTGGTTAATAAAAGCATGAGAAAAAATGAATGTGAGGGAGAAAAAGAGTCTTGGGGATATGCTAGAAAACAGAAGTTGTCAGAGATTAAAAGAATAGCGCAGCCAGATTCTAGCTCAGGGACAACCTTCCCCAAGCAAAAACAGAGACTGGCAAGAGACGTTAGCTCAGGGATGATCTTCCTCACCAAAAAAAACCCAAACAAAACCAACAGTGCTGCATCGCCACAAAAGCAGAGTGAGAAAATTTTGAGATGGTCAGCGTGAAATGTAACCAAAAAAAGAGATAGAAATTAATAATTTTGTCTTATAAAAAAATATCCTTTTTTGAAGTGAAACCAATATGTAAAAGGCTCTTCTTGGGGTAAAAAGTGAATCGAACATTTGTAAATTTTTATTACAAAATTTGCTGGATCAAATTTTTGCCATGGACTGAGCAAGTGAAAGCATGCTGTTCCGTATCTTTGGTTAGGGTTCATTCACCCTGAGCTAAGGCCTGTCATTTAAAAAACCTGACGGAAGCCAGAGGAAAACATAATCAAGGTAGACTGTACCACAGCAGGAGGGGTGCTCATTTAAATCAGCATAAAATGACCTTTGCACTAGATTAAAAAACTCTGACTTTTTTACTTACAGTAAGAAAATGAGATATTTAGCAAAAATTCTAATTTTCAATTCAGACTATCTAAGAGTTTCACTTAGAGTATTCTTCTTTTAATTGCTACCCTACATTATAAATTACTGTTTCTAATGAAACGGATCTTAAGAAGACTGACATATATACATTTACATTAGATATGTTGTCTTGGAAGGTAAAGCATTCAAGCAGAAAATGGGTCTGTTTTCTGCAAAACTTTCTCTTTTCACTCTATTACAATGATTAACGTATTACTTTAAAAAAAGTTTCTCAAAACTTTTATAAACTTTATGCATATGTCATAGAAAAACGTATCGAATCAAGATTACTGTCTAAGTTTTAATGAATATTTTATAGTTACATAAGATGTCAATGTAAGGGCAAAGCTGAGTGAAAGGCACAGGGGAACCCTCTAAACTATTTCTTCTAACTCTTCTATTAGTCTAAAATTATCTCAAAAAAATCTGTGAAAAAGAAATTTATACAAGAAACTTGAAACTTTCATTGTTAATATACCTCATCAAGCCTCCATTAATTAGCAGGATGACAATTTACTGAACTCAGGTAACTGAGAAGCCATAATCAGAAAGACAATAGGCTTACTGTTTGGTTTCTTTGTGGCAGCTGACAATTCCTCCTCTTCATCTGCTACTTGGGGGAAGCTATCTGCCAAACAGGATTCATATTCTTCATGTGTTGTCCGATCAAACATATCTTCCAAGCTATCATTCATTTTTCTTTCTCCATCTACATAAAAGAGCATTGGCTCAGGGCAACAAACAAGCTTTTTGATTTCTATTTGACCAATTTGAAACTTGTGGTAACTGCCACTAAACAATTCACTTGTGCACAAGACAAGAATAAATCCCCAAGTCTGGGTAGTTACTGTACATTCACAAAGGCTTTATGTTATGGCTTTAAATGTCCTTTACTTGTGTGAAAAGAATGCTAGTTTTTGTTATTGTCATTACAAACATTAAAAATCTTTTTCTCCATATCAGTTCATGCATAATTCATACTAAACCAAAAGGAGTTGCACCAAAGAAATAGTGAGGAATAGAATATACATCATAATGAACGATGAAAAATATTAAGTTTAAATAAAATGTGTATAAATAGCTGACATTAAAATCTCTATAGAATTTTGCTTACCTACTTATTTTTCTATAGTGATAGCAAAAAAAGTATTTTATTGCATTATCATTAACACTTGGTAGTTTAGTGTTGATCAAAATGATGAATTCAATTCCATATCTGACATACAAAGTGCTAAATTCATCTTCAGAGTACCAGCTACATTTTTCATTACATAGTCACATTTTAAAAAACACCAGAGTTTACAAAAAAAAACAGAAACAGACCCAGTTGGCTAACAAACGTGACAGATCCTGCCGAGATGGCTCTGTATAAACTACCTCCCCATGAACCCATGGTGCTCCAGTACCCTCATCCTATTATCTTTCTCCAGAACTTACCATCATCTATCACACCAAACATCTGCTTGTGTCTCCACTATGAGAATGTAAGTTGAAGTAGGTACTTTTGTTCTGTTTACTCATTATTTCTAGTTCCTGGAACACTTCCTAGTATAGAACCGTGGCTTGATATTTATTAAATGATTAAACATTTGTTCATTTTTCATGTTGAGGGTCAAATTTGTAAATAATTGATTTATTTTTTTGTTGGTCTAACTTCTGATTGTGAAATACTTGAGGACAAAGACTATGTCCACATTGATCTTTCTATCATAATATCTAGTAAGTCTAACACAGAGCAGGGATATAAAAACATTTTTTGAATCAAAATACTAGCAATAATTCAGTTTTTATTGGTATGTTTCATTCTTAACTAATTCTAAGTATTAAAAAGGTTTATGTTACGGGTAAAATGGGCAGACTGTTTTTTTCCAAAGAAGGCCTCAACAATATCTCCTATCTCATGTGCTATTCTCAAAATATGATCTTGGTACTCCTCCCACTGAGAGGTGAAGGCTATGTTCTCTTGCTTTGAACCTGGGCAGCTCTTTGTGACACTGTGAAACTTCTGAGGCCAGATCATAAAAATGCCATGCACCTCTACCTTGCTCTTTTGGGGTGCTCACTCTGAGAACCTAGTCTTCATGTGATGAGGAAGCTCAAACCAGCCCATGTGCAAAGACCATATGGAGAAGCCCTGAGACTGAACAAGGACAGAGATGCCAAGTCACCCCCATCTGTCTAGCCCTCTGCTATTCCAGCTCTAGCTACCATCCATCTACAACTACGTGAGAGACCCAGACACAGAACCATCTAGCCAAGTCCTTCCTGAATTCCTGAGCCATAGAAACTACGAAAGATAAGAAAATGATTGTTGTCATTTTAATCTTCTAAGTTACTGGAGTGATTCATTATGCATCAATAGTACTAATAACACATTTAACCAAAATTATTTCCATTCATTCATTCAAGTTCTAATCTCTCTTTATTTAAAAGCAAATATTTTAAGTATATTTGGGAAACTATCACCTTCTTTGAATCAACTAGATAAATTTGAAGCCAAAGTAGTCATACTTGAGTTTTCTCCTTTTCTATAAACACAAGGAAAACCTTATCAGGAAAACATTATCAGGAGCTGATACCAGGCACAAAATAATCTTAAAAGCAAAGTATCTTGAGAGGTTACATCAGAATCATGGCAGAGTGAGCTTTTCCCTTAGACTTTCTCTGCTAAGATATAATGAGAAGGACATTCATAAATCAAAAGAGGACATTCACACAACACAAAAGACATCAGAGAGACCCATCCAGCCACACGTCTGAAGATGGAGCTGCTGGACCCCTCAGGAGGAAGTAGAAGGAGGAAAGGCGAGCTCCTCTCCCTCCCTGGCAGCAACCCAGGGCGTGGGCCCACGTGCAGCTCTGAGAAAAGAGGGAGGAGAGGTAGCTCTCCATGGGAATGCTTTCTTTCTCCAAGATCCCCCACAGACTTTGGGAAAGCCCCACACAGAGTTAGCTAAGCTATTGTGGGGGTGTCTTAATCAAGCCAGCACCCCAGGAAAGCAGATAGTGAGAGCAGAGCAAGAATACCCCTGGGAGCGTGCATGTGAAAGAAAGCAACGCACCCCCCCCCCCCAACAGTGCTCCAGCTAAGCCACTTGGCCAGAGCACCTGCACGTATGTTAGAAAAGCAGCAGCGGTGAACCAGCCAACTGGCAGTCACAGATGGGCCCTGTCAGCATAGATTCTAAGGACAGGCACAGATGCCAGGGATCATGGCAGGCTCAGAATACAGAGCTCCTGACTGACCCCCAGTGGTGGAAGATGGAATCTGAGATGAGATACTATCACTATGTGAAGGCAAAAATCCACACCATCAAACAATATGAAGAAATATATTAATACTCCACACCAGAAGGCAGAGAAATTTATAATCTAAATAACAGAGAATTCAAAATAACTAGCATAAAGAAATTTGAGTTCCAAGACAATAGGATAGACAGTTCAATGAAATCAGGAACAAAATTAATGAAGAGAAGGAATTCTTCACAAGAGACTGAAACCACAGAAAAACAAATCAGAAATGTTGGAGATGAAAAACACAATGGGTGAGATAAAGAAAAATCTGGACTCCCTGAATAACAGAGCTGATATTATGGAGGACAGAATTAGCAGTCTGGAAGGAAGAAAATACAGAAATGCTTCAGATGGAGGAGAGAGAACTAAGACTAAAAAGAAATGAAGCAATTCTCCAAAAATATCCAACTCAATTAGGAAATGCATCCTAAGGATTACAGGTACTCCAGAGAGATAAGCGAGGGAGAATGGAGCAGAAAGCTTGTTCAAAGAACCAAGAGCTGAGAACTGCCCAAACCTGGGGAAGGAGCTAATAGAACTATGGACTATATCAATGTAAAAACATCTTCTCCAAGGCATATAGTAATAAAACTGGCAAAAGTCAAGCACAAGGAAAAAATGTTAAGGGCAGCAAGGCAGAAGAAAATAACCCACAAAGGAATCCCTACCAGGCTTTCAGTGGCTTTCTCACCAGAACCTTACAGTCTAGGAGAGAGTGGAATGATATATTCAAAACTCTGAAAGACAAAAACTTTCAGCCAAGAATACTTTATCCAGCAAAAATATCCTTCAGATATGATGGAGAAATAAAAACTTTCCCAGATAAACAAAAGCTAAGAGAGTTCTTTGCCACAAGACTCCCACTACAAGAAATGATCAAGAAGGCCCTCATACCTGGAAAAAAAAAAAAAGAAAGGGTTCACAAAGCCTTGAGCAAGAAGATAAATAGGCAGACAAAATCAGAAAATTGCAGCTCTCTATCAGGACAGGTTAGCAAACAATTATAACAAAGATAAAGGGAAGGAAAACATCGAAAATAAATATAATCTTGTCATTTTAACCACTAACTCACAACACAAGATGGAATAAGCTGTGACAATAATAACTTAGATGGGGAAGAAGGAAGGGATGGAAACGGCTTAGACTAGGGAAATAAGAGGCTATCAGAAAATGGACTAGCTCATCCATGATTTTTTTTTTTTCTGCGTTATCTCCCCAAACCCCCCCATACACAGTTGTATATCTTAGTTGCAGGTCCTTCTAGTTGTGGCATGTGGGCTGCCTCACCGTGGCCTGATGAGCGGTGTCATGTCCATGATCCGAATCCTGGGCCGCCGCAGCAGAGCGCATGAACTTAACCACTTGGCCATGGAGCCAGCCCCCATGAGTTTTTTAATACAAACCTCATGGTAACCACTAAACAAATAATCAGAACAGAGACACAAATGACAAATACAGAGAAAATTGAGAAAACCATCATAGAAAACTACCAACCTGAACTGGTAGTCCAAAAACACAGGATGGGAAACAAGGGAAACACACAAAAACCAGAAAATGAGAGATAAAATGGCAGCATTAAGCCCTCATATATCAATAATCACTCTAAATGTAAATGGATTGAATTCTCCAATCAAACGACACTGAGTAGTGAGACAGATTAAAAAACAAGACTCAACAATATGCTGCCTCCAGGAAGCACATCTCAGCTCTAAAACAGTCACAGGCTCAGAGTGAAGGGATGGAACACAATACTCTAAGCTAATGGCAAACAAAGGAAAGCAGGTGTTGCCATACTTATATCGGATAAAGTAGACTTCAAGATAAAACACGCTATGAGAAACAAAGAGGGGCAGTATATAATGATAAAAGGGACACTCCACCAAGAAGACATAACACTTATAGATATCCATGGACCCAACAGAGGAGCACCAAAGTACATAAAGCAAGCATTAACAAACCTAAAAGGAGATATTAAGAACAGCACAATAATAGTAGGGGATCTTAACACCCCACTTACATCAATGGATAGATCATTCAGACAGAAAGTCAAGACGGAAAGTGGATTTAAATGAAAAACTAGACCAGATGGACTTAATACACACAACACACACATATATAGAACACTCTATCCAAAAACAGCAGAATACACATTCTTCTCAAGTGCACATGGAACATTCTCAAGGATAGACCATATCTTGGGAAACAAGGCAAGCCTCAATAAATTTAAGAAGACTGAAATCGTATCAAGCATCATTTCCGAACATAATGCTATGAAACTAGAAATCAACCACAACAAAAAAGCTGAGAAAGTCACAAACATGGAGACTAAACAATGTCCTACTGAAATGGATGAATGAAGAAATTAAAGGAGAAATCAAAAAATATCTGGAGACAAATGAAAATGAACATACAGCACACCAACTCATATGGGATGCAGCAAAAGTAGTCCTAAGAAGGAAATTCATAGCAATACAGGCCTACCTTAACAAACAAGAAAAATCTCAAATAAGCAACCTTAAATTACATCTAACAGAACTAGAAAAAGTAGAACAAAGCCCAAAGTCAGCAGAAGGAGGGAAATAGTAAAAATCAGAGCAGAAATAAATGAAATTGAAACAAACAATAGAAAGGATCAATGAAACCAAGAGCTGGTTCTTTGAGAAGATATACAAAACTCACAAACCCTTAGCCAGACTCACTAAGGAAAAAAGAGAGAAGGCGCAAATAAATAAAATTAGAAATGAAAGAGGAGAAATGATGGATACCATAGAAATACAAAGCATTGTAAGAGAATACTATGAAAAACTGTATGCCAACAAACTGGACAATATAGAAGAAATGGATAAATTCTTAGATGATACAACCTCCCAAAACTGAATCAAGAAGAAATAGAGAATCTGAATAGACCAATTATAAGTAAAGAGATTGGAACAATAATCAAAAACCTCCCAAAAAACAAAAGTCCAGGACCAGATGGCTTCTCTGGAGAATTCTACCAAACATTTAATGAAGATTTAATGCCTATCATTCTCAAGCTATTTCAAAAAGCTGAAGAAGATGGAACACTTCCTATCACATTTTACGGAGCCAACAACACCCTGATGCCAAAGCCAGACAAGGACAACACAAAAAAGGAAAATTACAGGCCAATATCACTGATGAACATAGATAGAAAAATCCTCAACAAAATATTGGAAAACTAAATACAGCAATACATTAACAAGATCATACACCATGATCAAGTGGAATTTATACTAGGGACTTAGGGATGGTTTATCATCCACAAATCAATATGATACACGACATTAACAAAATGAGGAACAAAAACCACAGGATCATCTCCATAGATGCAGAGAAAGTATTTGACAAGATCCAGTATCCATTTACGATAAAAACTCTCAATAAAATGGGCACAGAAGGAAAGTACTTCAACATAATAAAGACCACATATGACAAACCCACAGCCGACATCAAACTCAATTGGGAAAAACTGAAAGCCATCCCTCTGAGAACAGGAACAGGATAAGGGTATCCACTCTCGCCACTCTTATTCAACATAGTACTGGAGGTTTTGGCCAAAGTAATTAGGCAAGAAAAAGAAATAAAAGGAATCCAAATAGGCAACGAAGAAGTGAAACTCTTGCTGTTTGCAGACAACATGATTTTACATATAGAACATCTTAAAAAGAATCCATCAGAAAACTATTAGAAATAATCAACAACTACAGCAAAGTTGCAGGGTACAAAAATCAACTTAAAAATCTGTTGCATTTCTACATTCTAATAATGAGCTAACAGAAAGATAACTCAAGAATACAATCACAGCAAAAAGAATAAAATATCTAGGAATAAATTCAACCAAGGAGGTGAAAGATTTATATAATGAAAACTATAAGACATTATTGAAAGAAGTTGATGATGACATAAAGAAATGGAAAGATATTCCATGCACATGGACTGGAAGAATAAACATGCTTAAAATAGCCATACTACCTAAAGCAATCTACAGATTCAATGCAACCCAACCAGAATCTCAATGACATTCTTCATGGAAATAGAACAAGGAATCCTAAAATTCACATGGGGCAACAAAATTCAGCTGGGGTAACAAAAGATTCTAAATAGCTAAAGCAATCCTGAGAAAAAAGAACAAAGCTGGAGGCATCACAATCCCTGACTTCAAAATATAATACAAAGCTATAGTATAGAAACAGCATGGTACTGGTACAAAAACAGACAAACAGATCAATGGAAGAGAACTGAAAGCCCAGAAATAAAATGACACATCTACGAGGGGCAAGCCCCATGACCAAGTCGTTACGGTTCTGTGCACTCTGCTTCAGTGGTCTGAGTTGGTGGGTTCGGATTCCAGGCACAGATCTACTCTAAACATCAGCCATGCTGTGGAGGCATCTCACATACAAAATAGAGGAAGACTGGCAGAGATGTTAGTTCAGGGCTAATCTTCCTCAAGGAAAAAAGAAGAAGATTGGCAACAGATATTAGCTCAGGGTGAATCTTCCTCACTAAAAAATCCTCCCAAAAAACAAATAAATCCACACATATCTATGGACAGCTAATCTTTGACAAAGGAGCTAAGAACATATAATGGAGAAAGGAAAGTCTCTTCAATAAATGGTATTGGGAAAACTGGATAGCCACATGCAAAAAAACGAAAGCAGACCATTATCTTTTGCCATACACAAAAATTAACTCAAAATGGATCAAAGACTTGAAGGTAAGACCTGAAACCATAAAACTCATAGAAGAAAATACAGGCAGTACATTCGTTGACATTGGTCTTAGAAGGATCTTTTCAAATACCATGTCTGCTTGGGCAAGGTAAACAAAAGGAAAACTAAACAAGTGGGACTTCCTCAGACTAAAGAGCTTCTGCAAGGCAAAGGAAACCAGGAACAAAACAAAAAGACAACCCACCTACTGAGAGAAAATATTTGCAAATCACATATCCAACAGCGGGTTAATCTCCAAAATATATAAAGAACTCATACAACTCAAGAACAAAAACACAAACAACCCAATCAAAAAATGGGCAGAAGATCTGAACAGGCATTTTTCCAAAGAAGACATACAGACAGCTAACAGGCACATTAAAAGTTGTTCAACATCACTAATCATCAGGGAAATGCAAATCAAAACTACACTTAGATATCACCTTACATCCGTTAGAATGGCTATAATCACCAAGACAAAAATAACAAATGTTGGAGAGGATGTGGAGAAAAGGGAACCTTCATACACTGCTAGTGGGAGTGCAAAATGGTGCAGCCACTACGGAAAACAGTATGGCGGTTTCTCAAAAAATTGAAAATAGAAATACCACATGACCCAGCTATCCCACTACTGGGTATTTATCCAAAGAACTTGAAATCAACAATTCAGAGGCTTATGCACCCCTATGTTCATTGTAGCATAAGTCACAATAGCCAAGAAGTGGAAGCAACCCAAATCCCCAACGACTGATGACTGGATAAAGAAGATGTAGTGTGTATTTATATACAATGGAATACTACTCAGCCATAAAAAAAGACAAAAATGTCCCATTTGCAACAACATGGATGGACCTGAAGGGTATTACATTAAGTGAAATACGCCAGACAGAGAAAGACAAACACCGTATGATTTCACTCATATGCGTAAGATAAACTAACACATGGACAAGGAGAACAGTTCAGTGGTTACCAGAGGGGAAGGGGGTTGGGAGGTGGGCATAAGGGGTAAGGGGCACACATATATGGTGACTGACAAATAATAACGTACAACTGAAATTCCACAATGTTATAAACTATTATGACCTCAATTAAAAAAATGCAAAGTATCTTCTTAAGAAGAAAGTTAATAGCCATGTATTATAAAAAGACAACATAACAACATTAAGGTTTTTCTTTTAATAAGTTCTGTCTTCTCCACCCTGGCAGCCAACTACTTGATCATATGGATAGTTGTTCATTACTGAAGAACAAAGAATTAAGGTAAAGTATTAAATTTTTTTCTCACTTACTACATTTAGGGCAGCAAGAGGTAACGTGTTTCAAAAGAAATAAGGATAAGACTGGCTGTTTCATTATTCAGCCCGGAGCAGGTAGGCTAAGGAACATTCAGCAGAAGATGGGGAATGCACAAACATCTGAATGTCTTTAGTTTCTAACAGATGATCACTGGAAAATGTCTCTGCTTCTAGCAAGGCATCCCCATGTGGCAGTTCCTAACCCTTTCCTATGTAAGGGTGATAAATGACAGTCTAGTTGACCTGATGTCATATGCCTCTGTAGTTAGGAATGTTCCTAAGGTGTTGCCAACCAAAATCCTTCCATTGAATATTAAGGTTTTAGATGAAGAACTAACAGTTTCTCACTACAAAGGGCTGTAGATCCCTAATTTGGCCAAATCCCCTTTTCTGTAGAAGCAGAATATAGCAAAGTAATTCAGTATATACACTATCATTCTTAGTTTACTGCTAATTTGCAAATCTATACTAATACTTCTCAGTAGAATCCCCCCTCTTTTTTAAATAAAATTTCTTTGGAAAATCCTATTTCTAAAACAGGACTCTCAAGATTCCCTTTTATATCTTTTATAAAAAGTTCTCAAAACCAAGGATCAGCAAACTTTTTTTTAAAGAGTTGGATATTTACTAATTTACTAAATATTTACTAATATTTTAGGCCTGTGGGGCCAATAAGGTCTCGGCAGCAACTACTCAACTCTGCTTTTGTATTGTGCAAGCAGCCGTAGGCAATACATAAACAAGTGAGTGAGGCTATGTTCCAATAAAACTTTATTTACAAAACTGGCAGCCAGTGTGATTTGCAGACCCATGGAAACAATATGAATTCTTTCTGAAATAAAATTTATTTTGGTTAAGGATTTTTTTCCTGAAATACTGAAACTCACCTTTACTAAGAACAAACTAATATTATCAGAACAGCAAAAAAACTGGTTTATGGTGAAGAGGTGACTTATGCTCATCAGTACAATGGTACAACTATAAACTTCCCTCCACATTTTTATTAAAATTAAAAATAAATCAAATCTTACTTGGACTTTTTTCTCTCTTCTGCTCTTGCTTCTTCATTTTTAAAAGCACAGTTTCACTAACCAATGTACAGTCCATGTCCACTGTCTCTCCTCCTGCTAATCTTGACTGACTGCTATCCTGAGTATTTAAAAATTCAGAATTTTAACAATTATCCCTTTATGGCCTTGTATTTACTTAAAAAAAATTTGGTAAAATATACTATAACACAAATTTTATCATTTTTCTATGTACACTTCAGTAGCATTAAGTTAAATTTACTTTTACCCTTTAGGAGTATAGAAAGATTTAGGTTTTATCAATAAGCCTGTAAAATATTTTAGCTTCACTATTCACACATCTTCCTTCAAGTCCAGGAAAAGAAGGACTAGTGACAAGGAAGGGAGTTATATACCACTGAACTCCCTTGAGCTTCTCCTTCCTCTCTTCTCCAATCTACCTCACAGGAATGAACATCGATGTACACAAAGAACAATTTCATAAATCAAATTTGATTTCTTGATAAATATATATGACTCTAGCAACTGTTAAATACTTGATTAACATGCTACCAAGTGAAAAAGAACTTCTCAAGCTATATAGAACCTAAATACAAGCCAAAAAAATTATTTCCACTAATTTTAATTTTTTGTTTTCTTTTGAGGAAGATTAGCCTTGAGCTAACATCTGCCAATCCTCCCCTTTTTGCTGAGGAAGACTGGCCCTGAGCTAACATCCATGCCCCTCTTCCTCTAGTTTATATGTAGGACGCCTGCCACAGCATGGCTTGCCAAGCGGTGCCATGTCTGCATCCGGGATCTGAACTAGTGAACCCTGGGCCGCTGAAGTGGAATGTGAGCGAACTTAACCGCTGCACCACCAGGCCGGCCCCTACTAATTTTAATTTTTTTAAAAAAATACAGTATTTTAAAAAATAACCAACTGGGAAAATGAAAATTTTTTCTTAATGGTACATTATTTTAAAAGTTAGTCAAGGCATATCACAGGGTACTTTGATAAAAAATAAAATCATTTAAAATACGTTACTAACTTTTTGCATTATTTTAAAACTATAACATTTTTCAGTAAAGGGCTTTAAAGTCAGAAAGCACTATCTTTTCAAAAATACCGTCTTTTCAAAAATACTGTAAAGTTGGAAGAATAAGCATTTTTATTTCTTAGTTTTCTGAATAAATAAATGCAGGTTTTAAGAGGTATGTGATCATCTCAAGGTCACAGAGTGAGTCAGAAGAGAAGAAGGACTAAAACTCACTAGAATAACCACATGGGCTTTGGTTTTACTTTCTCACTTACCTTTGTGTTGATTACAGTAATATCCATTTTATACTGAGAAAGGTCTGCTCCTGGATCTACACTCCACTGGGTATTTTCAAAGGACGTATCTTAGATAAGGAGAAAAAAATACCCAATTAAAAATGGATTTTAAAAATTCTCATCACTTTAAAACATATGGGACCCACAGAATGGGAGAAAAGTTTTATAAATAACACATCTGGTAAAGGACTTGTATCTAGGATATACAAAGAACCCTCACAAATTAACAACAAGGCAAATATCCCAACTAAAAATCAGCAAAGGTCTGAATAGACAGTCCTTCAAAGGAGATACACAAATGGCCAAAAAGCTCATGAAAAGATGTTCAACATCATGAGCCACCAGGGAAAGGCAAATCAAAACCAAAATGAGAAGCCACTTTCTACCCATTAGGATGGCTAGAATCAAAATGACAGATAATAGTAAGTGCTGGGGAGGATGTGGAGAAATTGGACCCATTATATGCTGCTTGTGGGAACGTAAAATGATGTAGCTACTCTGGAAAACAGTTAGATAGTTCCTTGAAACAGAGTTAATTAGCCTATGGCCAAGCAATTCTACTCCTATATATAACTCGAGAAAGACAAAAACATACATCCACAAAATTATACATTAAGTATTCATAGCAGCATTACTCATAATAGTGAAAAAAGTCACAAAAGATCATATGTTGCTTGATATCATTTATATGAAAACTCCAGAATAGGCAAATCTATAGAGACAGAAAGTAGATTAGTGGTTGCTTAGCACTGGGGAACAGGGAAGAGGAATGGACAATGATTACTAACAGGCACTGTCCCTCTTGGGGTGAAGAAAATTTTCCTAAACTTAGACTATAATCAGGGTTGCACAACTCTCAGAGTTTACCAAAACCATTGAGTTGTACACTTTAATGGGTAATTTTTACCTCAATAAAATTTTTTTAAGTTAAAATTATAACATTGTTTGGAGGGGTTTTTCAATGTATGTAGATACACATGATAATTACATAAAGTACAGTTCTAGAACATCAAGTAGTACAATATTAAACCTAAGCAGACTGTGGAAGCTTAAGCAGGTATACCATAATCCCTAGAGCAACCAAGAAAAGAAATCAAAACAAAAAGATAAAGTCAAGAATGAGAGTGAAAAACATGTTTTCATACAGAGACTGAAACTCTTGCTGGAAGAAAAACTAAAGACTGTGCTTAAGGAAAATAAACCCAGAATGAAGGAGCAACTTTCCAATGGATAAAAGGAAAACAGTGCATATGAAGGGCAGAAATATTCTGTATTTTGTGGCTAAAAAATGAAAAGACTCCTTTTAAACACAGAAAAATTATGAAAATATTAAGACACATATTAGAGCAAACAATGTTTTCAAACAAGAAGTTTAAAAACCCATATAAATGTAAACATGGATATGTACACATGTAAATACAAAGAAAAAGGACAGGCTACCTATGGGGTGAGGAACAAGGTCTGGATGATGAAAATACTACTTTAAAAACTAGTTTAGGGGCTGGCCCCTTGGCCGGGTGGTTAAGTTACTGCGCTTTGCTTCAGCAGCTCAGGGTTTCGCCAGTTCAGATCCTGGGTGCAGACATGGCACTGCTCCTCAGGCCATGCTGAGGTGGCATCCCATATGCCTCCCCTAGAAGGACTCACAACTAAAAATACAGAACTACGTACCGGGAAGCTTTGGGGAGATAAAGGAAAAATAAAATCTTTAAAAACTAGTTTAAATACTAGTTTAAATTTTTTTGAACTATTTTCCTCTCATTTTTATTTATTTATTTCTTTATTGTGAGGAAGATTGCCGCTGAGCTAACATCTGTGCCAGTCTTCCTCTATTTTATAGTATGGCTTGACGAGTGGTGCTAGGTCCATGCCTAGGATTCAAACCCCAGGCCGCTGAAGCAGAGCACGCGAACTTAACCACTATGCCACTGGGACGGTCCCTCTCAATTCATTTTTTCAAATGCATAAGAGCAAGAAAATCACATGTAAAATGAAACCAATGAGAGAATCATCCCATAAACACAGAAACAGGCAGCAAGAAATAAGGTATTTTTTCCCAAAACAATTTCATCTATTCAAAGAATGTAAATAACATATTACAATACTCAACTTAAAGTCACTAAGAAGGAGTAGAAATACTGTTTAGAGTGCCCACACCTTGGCTGTCTTGTGAAGACTTTGCTTTAGAAATTCTACACGGATTTAACTGAAGAACAGACGCAAGTTCACATGCTCCATGGATTGACCTGGGTTTTCTTTTTATTGGCTCATGAGAACCAGCACCCTAAAACAGAAAGAATTATTAGCACCTAGATAAAATCATAAACAATCATTTTAATCAAAATCCTTGACCATTGAACACAAACCTTCATGTCATCAAAAAGACTCTCTGTCTCCAAACTTTCACGTGGACATAGAGGGATTTTAAAGACAGGATTTTCTTCCTTTATTTGTAATGGTGTTTTATTATCTGGAGAGGATTTACTCAAAGACTGGAGGCCGCAATCCTGTAAACAGGGCTCCTCTGGGGAATCTCTGGTTAACGTACAGCTCCCACTCAAGGCCTCGCGGCTTGAAGAAGAGCTCTTCGGGATGGGCTTCAAAGCCTCAGAGAGAGTCGCCTGCCTAAATCTGATTTTAGAGGGCTCACTTCCTTGGCTTTTCTCTTGACGCTGAATAGCTGAAAATCGATCAGACAGATCCAGAGGTTTGTCCATCACACAGTCTCCGTTCAAGGAAGAATGACTATCGGGTGGAAAAGGAAAAGCATTTTCTTTATCAAAAGAAGCTTGGGGGCAGCTTACTTCATCTTCACTTTCTTCCTCAATTTTCTTCCTTTTGGATGTTCTGCCTCCCAATGATTTCAGGGACATCACATGTTTATCTTTATCAGTAATAGCATCTTTAATATGATCAAGATTCTCCTGTTCACTTGTGGATTCACTTATATTTTTATTTATAAGCATTTGCTTATTAGAAGATGATTGGCTAATGATCTTGTTCACCTCAGACCCAAGATAAAGATGTGTGAAAAGGGCATTATCTTCAGATTTTGATCTAGTTTTCTCTGATCTAGAGTTAGAAGTATTGCTGAAAGGTGCCATTTTCAGATGTTTTTTTTTCCCAGTCTCTAAAAGAGAAGGGGACAAACTTGTATTCAAACCTAAACTGCTTTTCACATTAGACGTAGCTCCAAATACAGGAGATGATACCCGAGTGGGCAACTCTTCTTGAGGAGGAGTCTTTGAATTACAGTCTGGAAATCTAAAAAAATAAAGAGTGGTAAAATTTTTTTCCTTCTAAAGACATAGAGTAAAAATTAAAAGACAAGTGTAATGAGAAAGCTTTTGCTAATACAGAATTATTAATAGTAAGTTTTTATCCATGTATTAGAGGCAGATGATTAACATTTAAGATAGGGTATAGTTGCTGGCTTCTCTTCATTTAGCTGACAAAAAGCAGAGGAAAATGATACAGTAAATCAGTCTCAATATCATAAAATTGCTATCCATAAATATTTAATTTAAATAACTTCATTATATAAGAAAATCATATTTTACTAAGTTCCAATGAGGACCCAACTTTCTTTGTTGTTACGAAATCTGGCGTGAGTAACTCCAAGAAACGACATTCCTGTATCACAGGATTGAACATAAATTAAGACCAGCCTGCCTGTGGCAGAGGGACGGCTGCAGTGGTGGAAGAGCATCAGGTTTAAGTTTGGAGACAGGGGATGGGCAAGCTCCTACTCTAGAACTTAACAGCTATGTGGCTGTGAGCAAGACACTGACCCTCATTCGAGCTGCATTTCTGTTGACTGTAAAAAATGGAAGTAATAAAACCTACTTTAATTAGAGTTACCAAGATGACAAATTAAATGTTATATATGTATCCAAAACCAAAGGTCTTTTAAAAAGCAAAATGCTACATAAACATAGGATTATTAGTTAATGGATGTTCTGAAATTAGTAAAAAATGAGATGCAACACAATCTTGGAAGCTCATCCAAGCTTACAGATGCATTTTATGTAACATCCAGTCTTGGGAAATACAAACCCAGAAGGGATGAGCGGGTCTTTAAAGGGGCAGAGTAACAATGCCGGGAACTCCTAAGTACTGCTTGATACAAGTCTAGAAAGAATATAAAAATAATATTCATCTCTTTGCAATAATGCAAAAAGCCCTCAATTGGTCATAAACTGGGTAAAATATTTTTTAAAATAAAAATTAATACAACCAGAATAACAAACTATATGCTGTGTGGGAGAAATAGTTTAATTATATGGAACTAATTGAATGGGATCTCACCAACAGTTTATAAGTTTTTACCAAAGTGCCCCAAATTACCTTAAACTATCTTCACTATTTCTTGCAGATTCCTCAAAAGGTTGTTTCTTGTGATCTCCTTCCAGACAGTGGTAGAGCTCATCATCAAGAGGGCTCACGGGACCTTGAGGTTCCTTCAACAGTAATATATAAAGTACATAAATACAATGGAAGATGATTCATCCTTAAAAAGGAATGAAATACTGATAAATGCTACAAAGTAGATGAACCTCAAAAACAAGATAAGTGAAAGAAGCCAGACTCAAAAGCCACACAACATATGATTCCATTTATATGAATTATCCAGAATAGGTAAATCCATAGGACAGAAAGTAGACCTGTGGTTCAGGGACTGCGAGTAGGGGGAATGAGGACTGAACGTTTAACAAGGATGGGGTTTTCTTCTGGGGTGATGAAAATGCTTTGGAACTAGATGGAGGGGCTGTTGTATAATATTGTGAATATACTAAATGCCATTGAATAGTACACTTTAAAATGGTTAATTTTATGTGCATTTCATGAAAAAAAATCCTGAAATCAACCCAAAGGTTTAACTCTTCTCTTAGATGAAACAGGACAGGGCTAGGGAGGAGAGAGGGGGTGGGGAAGAGGGTGGCCAAATCATCTAAGTCATCATCAGTTCTCTAAATTTTGATGCAGCCCATAACCTATACCCCAAGAATTCTAAAGACCCTAGATTTCTGGGACTGCCTGGGATGGACAATATAAATGGGCCTCCTGGCCACGTCAATTTTGTTCTAGGCCTTTATCCAATGATCTTTGGAAAAAAATACTTTTTCTCTTGCTCAATTCTCTAAAAACCGACCTAAAAGGACACCAATTACTTCACATTAACACCAAATTCAACAATTACTTACAGATTCTTCTTGAACACTAAGTCCAAGTGTTTCAGCAACAACTGTAGCTAAATTAAAAGATGACTTATCAGTGGGATAACTGCTTGTCCCATGTGTTTCTAAGTAAGAAGAAAAAAAACAATCACACAATTGTAGAAGCTAGATGTATAAAAAAATACAAAAAGGAATAAAAGGCTCAAAGAACCAGTTTACAAGATGGCACTAAACAATTTTTTAAATTCTTTGCAAAAAAGCCCAAAATATTTACTATAAATGGCAATAAGTAGTAGGTATCTAGCGTCTACACTTGCCAAACTTTCTCAGCTAAGTTTTCTACTTCTTCTAAGTGAACTGAATGCAAGAGGTAGATTATTTTTTATTGCTAGTGAAAAAAAATCATAAAAATAAATGGGTTTATTGTGACCTAATATATAGCATGAATATCAAACCATATTTATAGTACCTTTCATGAAAACATACTTTGTGGGAGAGATTTTCAGCACTGCATAATTTCCAAGTTTTAAGCTAACACATAATTATACAGAAATCACCTGTGTTCATGTATCTTATAAAGTTTTATGCATTCAGACTTTCAATAACTCAGCAAGTATTTATGGAGCACATACTATGTTCCAGGGATTATGCTAGGCACTGGGTGAAAAGAAAAGGTACTTGTCCTCAAGGAGCTTATAGGCCATAGTTGAAACAGAAAGGTAAAAAGGAAAATTGCAATAAAATGTGACAAACATTATATAAAGGTATATAAAAAAGGGGTAATTTAAAAATAGAGAAAGGACTCTTAATCTGCCTTGGGAAATCAAGGAAAGCCAGACCAAGTGATGTCTAAGAGAAAGGGGAATTTGACAGTCAACTGGACTAGGGGCAGAGAAGGATTCTAGGCATGTGTAAGGGTCCACACATGTGAAACAAGACAGCAGGTTCAGGGAACTACATGTGGTTCAACTGCTGGAAACCAAATGCAAAAGATACAGTAGCAGCAGGACAGAAGCCCAGATAGGTTGGTGAGGGATCAGATTATCCTAAAGAGTTAAAATTCATTCTGCAGGCAATGAAGAGATTCCAAGGTTTTTAATAGAGGACAGATGCAATATTTGGGTTAAAAAAAATAATTCTAGCCATGATAGGCTGATGGAGCAAGAATCAGTCACTAATAGGCAAGAGGACTAGTTAAGAGGACCAACACAGTCTGACGAGAGACGCTGATGGCCGAAACTAGGAAAATGGGGGTGCAGAAGAATACGCGTGACAGATACGTAGGAGAAGCAATCAATAAGACTTGGAGACTATCTCAATATGAGAGAGAGGAAGGAGGAGTCTAGGGGTGACTCAAAGTCTTTCAATTTAGGTAACTCAGAGAGGTAGTGTTATTCACTGAGGTTATAAATAAAAGGATGAGAAGTAGGTTTGACACAACAGTTTCAATTTTAAACATGCTGAAATTGGAGGATATCCAGGTAGACGTGTTCAACAGCAGGCAAATCCACTGGTTTGGAATCCAGGAGAAAAGTCTTGGACAGAGATATAGATTTGGGATTTATTATCGTATAGGTTGTAGCAGAACACTAACTCTAGGTGAGCTTCCTCCAGAAAGAGATAAAAAGTGAGACAAGAAAAGGCCCAGGACCATACACACTGGGGACAATAACATTTAAAAGAAGAGAAAGAATAGCCAATAAAGGAAGATGAAAAAAGTACAATAAGAAGTAAGAGAACCAGGAGAGTGGCACCACTTCAAAAAAGAGAGTGCTCCATAATGTCAGGTGTCATAGAAAGGTCAAGTAGGATAAGGAGCGGGAAACAGTCATCAGATGTAACAATCAGGAGGTCACTGATGACTTTTGTCAGAGCAGTTCTAATGTAATGACTGAGAACAGAAAGTGTGAGAATGTGTTCTCTTTTTCTCCCCATTCCCTCTCCCTCTTCTTGCCCCTCCTTCCTCCCTTCCCCTGCACAGTAAAGCCTTGTTTACTCAAAATTATTAGCAATTTGTATTTATATATATGGGTAGGGGCATTAATATGAATTAATAATAGTATAACATTACTTTCCAATATGAAAAAGACTGCTAAACAATTAGTAATACAAACAAAATTATATGCAAAATATTTTAACATATTGTCTTATTCAGAATGTTGGCCCCTCTTAACCCACCAATAACCACAAATTTTAAACTTATAAATTAATCTCAATATCTTGCTTACTAGCCATTGGAGACTGACTTTGATCACAAGTGTCAGCCACTAGAGTTTCATTTTCATTAGGCTTTTGTTGCAGATGAGTTGAAGATTTTGGAACTTTTCTCAATTCTAAGGGAAAAAACAAGAGATATTACATATAAAAAATCATGAAAAATATTATTTGGATAAGCTAATACAAATCTGTCTTTTTGCATGAGAAGTGCCATTTTATTGATAAAATTTCAATATTCTAATAAAAAGTTCATCTCTTTGGTTTCATTAAGAAACAAAGCTGGGGGGCGGGGGGGCGGCCCGTGGCTGAGCTAAGTTTGCGCGCTCTGCTTTGCTGGCACAGGGTTTCACTGGTTCGGATCCTGGGCGTGGACCTGGCACCACTCATCAAGCCATGCTGAGGCGGTGTCCCACATGCCACAACTAGAAGGACGCACAACTAAAATATACAACTATGTACTGGGGGGCTTTGGAGAGAAGAAGGAAACATACAAAATTGAAAAAAGAAACAAAGCTGGAAATTACAGGGGAGAGAGAGGACTAGAATTTGTACACAAGTTTCTTCGGACCTAAGTCTCCTAGAATTGTAATATTTTAACGTATCTTCTTTTCCTTGTGTATTTGTTGCACATCAGTAGGTTAATTTAAAATGAATACTGCATCATACAGCTCTACAATCCTTGTTTTAGAGTTTCTATTTTCTGGAAGGAAATCCTGAAATATGCTTTATCATAAATCATTCAAGTGTTTAAGGATTTAATTCAAAGAAAGCCAAAAGACACAGCAAAGGGAAATAGACTTTTACCAATTATAACTTGAAAATGGTATTAAAAAGCGCTATACACTTGAAAATAAACAAGCAAGGGTGGTTAGAAAAGAGAAAAGGACTAATAGTCATTAAATCAGTTTTAAAATAATTTGCATGGCTCAAAAGTTACTTTATATTTTAAAACCAAAATTTCAGATTTCAAGTAAAAAGGATCAGAACAAGACTAAAGCAGACAAATTAAGTTTTTAAATAGTTATACATTATTCTCAATCAAAAAATAAACCAGAAGCATTTATACTGGATATAAAAGACTTTCCTAATAAATTGCTGTGATTTGTTTTTCTGGCTATTCCTACACATGGATTTAAACATGATCTAAATTATGCAGCTGCTCATCTGTGGTGATTCATGTCCTGTCTGCAGCAGACTAAAAGGCCAATGAGTGTTCAATTCTAGATTCGTGATCTTAATTGTACTTTAGCTCCTAATTACGTGTAAGATTTTTAACAGTTCTTCTGTTTTCCACTAGATGGCGATGCAAGCTCATGTAAAATGGGGGAAAATTGTGTCAATTTTCCAGCAGGAAAGAATAAGATCTATTTATTTTTTTAAAGGCATAGCTACTGCCAAATTTATTTGCATTATAAAAACGTCTCTAGGACTATACACCCCTTCTCCCCAAACAGTTTAGGTTAAAAATTAAAGTCTTTACCATTTACTTTAGATCAACATTAAAAGGAATAATCATTGTATCATGTCACATGATACATTTCAGGGCTACATGAAAAGGTAGTTCCAAAGCATTTAGCAGAAATGGTAAATTGGCCTGGAATTAGAAATATGCCACTGATAAGCCATCAAGCAGATACAATATAAAGCCATTTCTTGATTACCACCAATTGCTACAAATTATCAAAAAACAAAAAAATAGTCAGTCAAAGACAGCTCCAATGGTGGGAGGAACCGCAGGCAAGACCTGGAAAGCACAAAAGTTCAGAGCCAAGAAGATCATATCTGAATTTTGACTGACTTACCTGAATTTTATCTACTTACTTGACACATGTCTCTGAGTGAGTTATTTAACCCTAAAGAACATATCTTTCCTCATCTATAAAACAAAGGTGCTAATAGCTACCTTGCAAGCTTGTCATGGAAATTAAAATACAATAAAATGTACTCAAATCACTCAGCATAATACCTGGCGCAGAGTAGGTGAAAATTAATGTTAAGTTCCTTTCCTGTTTCTTTCTATCCCACTCCAATATATACACATAAGAATATTTTCAAAATGAAAAGAAACAAGACTATTCACTGTAATTATAAAATGCTGAGCATTTATATATTCAGATGAGCGATATGTGTCTATACATAACACAGGCAGAAAATGCCTTCCCAGTCACTTCACTAACGGAAGTTAAACTCACAGTTGTAACATAAGTAGCCTGACAATGACTATCTTCTTTCCACTAGCTTGAATAACATAAAAACTAACAATAGGGATCAGCCCGGTGACATAATGGTTAAACCCATTCCACTTCGGTGGCCTGGGGTTTGCAGGTTCAGATCCCAGGCACAGATCTAGCACTGCTCATCAAGCCACGCTGTGGCAGTGTCCCACATAAAATACAGGAAGACTGGCACAGATGTTAGCTCAGTGACAATCTTCCTTAAGCAAAAAGAGGAGGATTGGCAACAGATCTTAGCTGAGGCCCAATCTTCCTGACAAAAAAACCCAAAGAACAAAAAAAAAACCCTCCCCCCAAACCAACAACAGACAAATACATTCTTTTTACAAAACCAGATAACTGAAGTACAACTCCAACCCTTACCATCTGTACACAGAGAGTGTTCCAGTTTAGTATGTGTTTGTTCTATGTATCGGACATGGAGGTTCTCCTTTCTCCGTAGCCGGTTAATGCCAGAAAAGGAAAAGGCCGTTATTGGTGAATCTGGAATAGCATTTTCCTCAGATTCAAGCTCAGTTACTTGATGCTGCTGGTCATTCCTAGAGGAAAATAATGACAATTGAAAGAAAACTAATTCAACAAATATTTATTAAAACATCTTCATATAGTATGGAGCGACAGCAGAACACAGGTATGAAGCTGTAGAGAGAGAATTCCTTGCATCTAATGCTTCCAATCTAAATATAAGGATTAGAGTACCAAGTGGGGAATATTATTGTGAGTAGCAAAGTACAAGGTGTGGTCAGTGGCACCTGAGGTGAAATTAAAAGGATTTCAAATGGCAGAGAAAATCAGCAGAGGATCCACACAGTTTGAGTCAAGGCAGGCAGTACTGTGTACTTGTCTTAGAGAATGGCAAGCTAGGACTACAGAAGGAGAGCCTTGATTAAGTGTGCACATAAATAAGAAAACAAGAAGAAAGGAATTAAGGTTTTAGAGCATGGAGGTAATGCGATAATCTAGCCGCAGTGTGCAGCAGACCGACTAGGACAGACAGAAAGGAGGCAAGGAAGTCAATTAGGCAACGGGTGTAACAGTCGATGCAAGAGCTTCTGTGGGGCGAACTAGGATGCTGAAAATAGTTATGAAAAGGAAGGGATCAATGCTAAACACTGTGGTAAAAGAATGAACATAACTCGGCAAACAACAAATATAGGGTGATATATAATGTTAACACTGATAACTACCAACATCTGTTGTGGCTTTACACTGCCGGGCAGTGTTCAAAGTGCTACACCTATCAGTTTAATTACCACAACTGATGAGGTATTATTATTACTCTCATTTTACAAATGAGAAAATGAAGACACAGAAGTTAAGTCACTTACTAAAATAGTAACTAACAGAACCAGGATCTAAATCTCAGCAGCCAGACTCCTGGGACAATGTTGTTAACCATTCAACATGTTATCCTTAGTGTAGACCATGAGACTAACGACTGACTACAAGGATTCAAACTTTGACTTTCCACCACTGCTTCTATCAGCCCCCGTTCCAGTCTACTCTCAACATGTCAGCCAGAACAGTCCTATTAAAACTTAAGTCTTATTATGTTACCCCTCTGATTAAAACCTGCCACATTTCCCAGTTTTACTGAAAACACAAATCAAAGGCCTTTCAATGATTCACAAGGTCCTACACGATCTGATCATCCCCCTCCCCTCCCACCTCTCTGGCCCCTGTTCTTTCTATATTCTACTCCAGCCACACTTGCTTCCTCGAGATTCCTCAAATACACCAGGCATACTCCTGCCTTAGCTTCTTTGTTCTAGTCCTTCCATCTTCTTGAAATGCTTATCCCCGGATATCACATGGCTAATTCTCTCATCTCCTTCAAGTCTTTGCTGGAGTTTTTCTCATCAGTGCCTACCTTGAACATGCTATTTACAACTGAACCCCCTTCCCACAGGCTAGTACTCCTATTCCTTGTTATTCTACTCTGTTTACTTTATCCATTGCACCTACTGCTGTCTAACATAGTATATAAGGGATCTGTCAATTGCTCACCTGCCAGAATGTAAATTCTAAGAGGATAAGGATCTTTGGTTCACTGAGGCATCACAAGTGTCTACAATAGTAGGTACTTGGTAAGTGCTCAATAAACAGCTGCTGAATGAATGAATATGAGAGATTCCTAGATTCCACTAAAAGAAATAGATTTGTGCTGATCTGGGCATACGTTCTTGCCCAACTCAATTCAGGACTAATGGCACCTAAAGATTGGATTTGGATTGAATTGCGGTTGACAAAAATAAAGTTAATGAACTCAGTTGACTTCTCCATGTCAGATCATTACTGACCTATTTGCCAACCAATTCTCACCAGTCTGTCAGGCATTTACGGTTTACATGACAGAACTAGTGTGTTCTATTATACTCATATCGACTTTCAATACTATTTCCAAACAAAGAATAATATGAGAATTTTATAAACTATGACCAACAGATTTAAAAAAAAAATTAGAAGATAAAGATTAATTTTTCCTAGCATAGATTTGTATCTTAATTTCCTGGATAATATCAATATTATTTGTGGTCTATAACCCTATATTCAATACGGAGGAAAATCTTTAGAATTAATATCCAATTTTTAACCTCTCCATACAATTCTACTGTCTTATTCTGGAAAAATAAAGTAAACTAAGGTCATATGAGAAAGCCTTATAAATTAATTAAGCGTGAAATCTACCTGACCTAGCTTTAACTAATCACGTCACAGCCCACCTACCTCTTAGTCATAAAAATTCAACCTGAAGCATGAATGAGTGACAGAAGAAACTGATTTCCTGCCAGAGTTAATCTAGAAGTAGCTGGGATAACAACACAAAACCAAAACAAAACAAAACAGAAGCTAGCTCTAACTAGAGTTGTCCAAACTACGTAAACAAGTGCTAGCTTTGTCCTCTTTTGTCCTTTGTCATAAAAGGGGGAAAATAACCCAAACCAACTTCCACGTGTTCACCAAATTTCTTCTTTAAAGCATTAGGGCTCACTGATTTTCTGAGAAAAGCTTAAAAAGTTCACACCATGGCTATTGGTTAATTATATACACTAAGTCATCTATCTCCTTCCACTTTTCTTTCTAATGGCTTGAGAGTAAATTTTTTTTGGGTGTCTGTTTTATTTGTAGGCCTCCCCTTAAATTACAGTGAAAACCACTTCAGTTCTTCTTTTTTCCAAAGACTTTGTATAAAGATCCAGGGTTTCCCTACATAAAGAGTCTGTGAAAAAGTTTTCAACATTCATCTTTTCTCCTGCTAAAGGAGAGATCGAAAGAACCTATATTTCCAGTTAAAATACAATTCAAACTTAATGAGGCAGTTATAGCCATCAAGTTCACTAACCATTCTGATTTTCAAAAAAGGGAAGGAGATGTTTCCCTAAAATACAAACTAGTGAGTCTGATGTCCTGAATCTCTTGGAACCAGTGTAAGTTTATTATATGAATAATTCAAATAAGACATTTTTAAAAATAGGGCTATTAGGCCAGTTGTTCTGAGGACTGCTTTACTGTATACCTCGCTCTCAGGAAGGCATCTGACAATGATTCTCTTGATATCTTCTTATTGTAAACAAAAAGAAGAAATACCAAACTCGGTATTAATAGAGAAAGATAGACTCCTAACTCACTGAATGATATATCACACAAAAAATTATCATTAACGAAGGAAATCTGTAGTAGTATGCCTCAGGGTTCCATCCTCAGACAGGTTTTAGTCAACATTTTACTTACGATTTTGATGCAGGCCACTGATAGAATGTCAAACTTGTGGAAGACACAAAGCTGAGAATAAAAGCTAACCTAACTCATGGCAGGAAAAAAAACAACACATAAAAGACCCTCAAAGGTTGGAATAATGGGAAAATCTAACAAAATGAAATAGAACAAGATAAATGCAAGATATAAGCCTTACTGAGTCAGAAGAGGAAGAATCCTCTTCTGGCACCACGTAGGTAACCTTCTGAGGCTGTTTCAGCATAAAATTAAGAAAGGGTATACAAACTGCGAAGACAGGCAAACTTGGGTTCGAATTCTGGGTCCAACACTTTCTAGTCACACTGGGTGAGTTATTTAACCTTTCTGAACCTCAGTTACCACCTATAAAGTAGGCATGGTACTGTACTTTCCTACTTCCTTTTTGTAGGGAAGTTGTGAAAAGGATAACGTATGTAAAGATGTAATCCAACACCCAGAAAATAGTATTTAATCAATAGTGCTATTATCTTAAAATGAAGGAGTAGGCTAAAAGATATAAGGTTTCTTAAACAACCTACTATGAAGTCATGACTCTGACGTCCTGTACTTTTATCTAAAACAAGTCTACAAGTAGAGGATAGAGAAGACTTTGACTTAAAGGGTCTAGTTAGCAGCAAACCCAATAAGGAACCACCAGTAATACATGTATCTTTTGACTACATTAATATAAATAAAGATACAGAAAAATGGAGCGGGCAGTATTGCTCTATTGATCAGACTATAACTAGAATACTGAGTTCTTACTTAAGATACTGATAAACTAAAACATTAAAGAGAAATAGTACTTTGAAGAATCTTAAAGTAATGACACGAGGAACAGTCAATTAAGAGAGGATATTTACTCTAAAGATAAGACTCAGGAGGGCCCTGATAGTTGTCTTCATGTAAACAAAGGGCCATCAATTATGAGAGGGGTATACTTGTTCCAGATGGTCACAGAAGGCAAAATCAGAATCAACAAATATAACTTGTACCTAGAGTGATTTCTACACAAATTTAGAACTTTCTAATAATTCCATCTCACTAAAATTAAATAGGCTTGGGAAACAGCAAATTTGTACTAGAGGTGTCTAAACAATGGTTGTTAAAGAAGTTATACAAGAAATTCAATTTAGAAGAGGATGTTGAATGAAATGAATCCTACAGTCCTTAAGTGTATACACGCCTTTGACTTTCACACACATTCATTTCCCAAAACAAAAAGGGTTATAACCTCAATACCTAGTTTATTTAATTATGTGCTTTCTGTAAATGGGGTTATAAGTAACCTATATATACACTTTATAATGGCAAATTTTTACTGAATAATTTCTTACTATAGTGTCTGTAAATAACTGTCCTACCATACAAGGTTTCTGTAACATCAAATCCAACTCAGATGAGTTAGAATTACTGCATTTAACAAGCCGAAGTATAAGGCAAATATTTTTTCTAAAGTTGAGGGGAATTTCAGGCACTAATAGTATAATGTTACAGTACTATAGGTATCCAGAGGAAACTGGTTGCCTTTACAAGATAATACTTGCTATTTTTTTTAACTGCCAAGCAAAGAAAATTTGTTTCAAGAGAACAAACTATAAAAGAAGTTGGCTCATGGGAATAACAACTATCATATTTCAGAAGAGAACCGAAAGACACAATAGATGACCTCTTACACTGTTCTAAGGCATGTCCTAAATAAAACATACATGTTCTGAGCTCATCTATATGATTAATCTTCATTGTAATTTCAAACTTCAGCTTTTACTTCTTTTCTAAAATATCAGTGAGCTTTAACAGGAAAAATCTGTGACTTTGAGAATACTAAAAATAAACTAATTCTGATTGGAATTCATATTTTTGCCAAGCAAATGACATTATCTAGTTTCAATACACTTTAAAGATCTTGGTTTTTGAGGCATTCACCTACCTAATTCTGTATTAACCTCTACACATTCGTTATCTTATTTATCTTTGGTATTCATAAATATCAAGGTTGATATGTTCAAAATACCATAAGCTAAATCACTTCACGTAACGTAGCTCAATGCATGTCAACAGTTATCTGAAATCTTCAGAATCAGATGTGATTCAGAATTTAAATTTTTTCTTAAATAAAGGATAATTCAGAGCGTATACAGGTTACTACATAATTATTTCCAGTAAAACCGAAGGCATCATCCTTTAGTCAAGCATGCTGATATTTCAACAGCAAAACTTAGCAATGCTCATACGAAGTGAGACAAATAAGGACTATAAACAGCATCTTGTCAGTTGAGGTGAGATTAGGTTGTAACATTTCAAAAAAATCTTTTGGGTTTTGAATCATATATAAGAGATTGTGGATCTGTGTCTTGCCTCACTTCACTACAGAGCTTGAGTAAAATCAGAAAGTGTTGACATTTTCATAAACGTTTTGCAACCTCTGTCTGACCCCATAGACTTCTTTCCTCATTTGACTATTATCCCCCTGAAAATTCTCTTTGGTTACCAATATTCAGTAGACTGATCACATGAGAGGAATATCAAAATCCTATTGGACATTCACTACCTAAAAGTATACTGTAAGGATGTTAATTCCACTTGTGAGATGTGTTTATACATAAGGCAATAACTATTCTAAGCCAAAATAATATGTTACACCTGCTTAGTTTACCAAAGTTTTTGTACATGTCCCTCAAATGCAAAAGATCTTTAAGAACCCTACAAAACCATTACGACTATCCTGAATTCTAACTCAAAAAATATTACACAAGCTTTACATAAATGGGAACTAAGAGCTGGCCATATCTCTGCTCTGCATCAGTCAGGCCATACCCAGAAAAACAGATTCTTTTTTAGATTCCACTGATGCGTAATGGAAAGCACAGAGGCCTCTGCGTCAGAAGATAGCAGACTGAGTGATGTCTTACTACCTACTAGCTGTGAGACCACGGCAAGTTATTCGACATTTGTGCGCGTTGGTTTCCTCATCCATAAAGTAGAGATAATAAAATTACCTTAAAAGAATCATAGTGAGGATTAATAATAAATATGAAACACAAAGAAGAGTAACTAGTACACAGGATAAAAGTTATTATTTTTATTCTTTAAGAGAAATGGGGGGAAAGGAGAGAGGAACAGATGGAGAAAGAAGTTCTCCAGGCCTGAGAAGGAAAACTTAATCAGTTTGCTTTTATGAAGCTTCTGGGAAAGGGCTGGAAGAGAGGTGACAAAAACCAAATATTTATTTGAAATATAAGTATTTTAATAATTTATTATTTATAATAGGTTATAAAAATTAAAATGCTTTAAATTAAAATGTTCTGATACTTTATATATTCACGCACTAACCTAAAAGATGCATATACACTCTTCTTATATCCTCCCAAAACACAAAAACATAGCCATTTTCTTTGTATCTTTTTTTCAGAACATAATAATTTTTAAAAATGAAATCTGTAACTCAACATATCTTTACAGTTTGTTAGCTAATTAAGATGAAGAAAGAAAAATGGAGGAAAATACTCAATTTTCTGCTACAATTTAGGAAAAATACTTACTCAATTTTCTGCTGCAGCTGTTCAGAAAGCTTTTTATTTTCTTCCTGTAGAGTATTCTTTTCATTCACTTAAATATAATGTGAAAAAGAAGGCACATATTACAGCTATATTAAGAAGTATATCAGGCTTTTTCAATGATTTCCACAATTATGAAGAAATTAGGATTTCTAATTCTAAGTCATAATATTAGTCAGGGTTAATGCTACTGTGCAAAACTAATTTGTTACTAGGTAGCGATTAATTGATTAATACATCTTACGTTGTGCCAGTTCCATGTAACTGATTAACTGATAATTTTATGTAATGCTTGTGGGCAAAAAAGAGTACTTCACATACTGGGGAATATAGTCTAATTATTCATATTGAGGACAAGAAAGCATTCCATCTGGTTACTCAGTCCTACTAATTTCAAATACCCTTTTAGTGAGAGTCAGTTATCCTGAAATAAATCTGATCATAAAGGAAACATAACACTATCAGTGTAACTTTTATAACAAACACTACTTAAGACAAATTTTCTTCCTTAGTCATACTCTATGTTTCATGAATAATTATATTTTCAGTAAAATGTAAATATATCCACTGAAGTACTATAAATTTGTCTGAATCTACCTTGACTAAATTTTCCTATCCATTGTTATTTTACTTATAAAGCAGAAAACCAATTTGGGGCTATTATTTCTGCTGCAGCCAGCTCAAAATTCTTATCAATCCTTAGTATGATGTCAGTAGTTAAGCATGTGTTTTACTCGGAGGACTATATCCAAGAAATCAAGTCATAGTAAATACAATTAACCTTTACCAAAGAAAGTTAATCATATTCCAAAAATTTGTTAATAATTTAGTGGTTAACAAATCTAAACATATTTCTTATATTGAGGAAACAAAAATTTTTTGACTATTTACAATATGTGAGATAAACTACCTCCTGTGGAGGATCTAAAAAACCTTAAGATAAAGACAATAACCTAAAGGAAAGTGCCCTCTAATAACAGACAAGATGTTACATAAATATGTTTTATACAACTGAAAGTGACAAGGGCGTTAGAGAGGTACAGATAAAGTACCAAAGGAAATTCCAAGGAGAAAAAGGTTACTTTGGGCCCTCGAGAAAATGAGGAAAGGATTCATCAAAGAGAGGACAACTGAGCTAGTAAGGTGACCATTCTATACAGAGAATTAATGAAACAAAGTTAGAAAGATTGGGTATCATAAATGGTAGAAAGCCTTCAAAAGCAGGCTAAGATATCTGAATATTATCTTAAAAGATTATCAGGCATCATTTTTCAAAGATGACTGATGAGAAGATTGATTTGTCAGTATGTATAGCATACATCAAAGTGAGAAGAAAGCACTGACAAGACAAGCGAGGCAATCAGAAGTCAGTATCTGGACTAAGGTGGAGGTGCAGAAACAGAAGTGAGGACTGGCAGAAGAGCTGGTACAGAGGCAGAATCGGTAGTTATTTGGCAACTCATCCTTTGTAGGATGAAAGAAATCAAAGATGACCTTAGCTTTCGATTAAGATGCTTTACTTGACTCTCCCTCTCCAAATCCCAATGAAATGACAAAAAACCTCTAAAAATAAGTTAACTGCAATACTGAAAAACCAGAAAGGGTGCCACTAGCAGATCAGAACTATGAAAAATTCCTGAATGATTTAAAAATAGCTAAGTTCAGACTGATGGTAAAATCAAAGAAAGAGCCAAGTGGGTTTTCTAGCAGAACCTCATAGTAATTCCAATATCAGAGGCAGCAAGGTCCAGAAAATGCTGAATGGGTAAATAAAGGGTGGCTAATAGTTGCCCCTAGGCTAAAGGCCTGAGGCTAGATCTCTGGAACTTTTAATGTAGGAGAGTCCATTAATAAATACTGAAACAGAGACCAAGACAGTGCTCCCAAGCAACTTCTAGCAACCACTAGAGAAGGCACCCCTATACCCAGAAGACAAACTATCCATATACCCTACAGAAAAGCTCTCCAGAGTCAAGTGTCTTCTTCTCCCACTTTCAGCCACTGGAGTTGGGCTTCTGTAAATCAGAACCTGCGTTCACTATCAGCAAAGCAGGTATTCTTCCTTGAGCTAAGGAAGTAAGATTGCATTTAACAAAACCATCAATTTAGAGACATCTACAACTACAGATGATTAAGAGTCAATAAATACTTAAAAAATAAAATTTAAAACACTTAAATTTTTAAAAAAAAACTAAAAACCAGTCCAAAATAAGAATTAACTTCTGGATAAATAGTTTTAATAAAGCAAACAAAAGATATCTAACATCTTCAGAACGATTTCAAAGGCTGATGGATCCATTAAAAAAAAGCAACAGGCTGCCATGAAAAAGAAACAAAGGTCATAAATATTAAAAACATAATAAATGGGATGGAAGTAGAATAAATGTGATTGAAGACAGAATTAATATCCACCTAAGTAATTCTCCCAGAATTCAGTATAAAAGAAAAGTTAGGCAGCATGGGGACCCAGCATCTGTCTAATAAGAGTTCCGGAAGAAGAGACAGAAAGAATGGAAAGGAACAAATTCTCAAAGAAGTAACAGAAAAAACCTCCTCAGGCTAAGCAAACAGTTGAGGGTGGTAGAGTAGATTAGATGTTCTAACAAAGTCTTACCACAAAACAAGTAGATCTTGCATAAAAACATAATTTTTACTAAACTGCTGAGCTCACAGGAAGAGAAATCCAAGGGACTCCCATACCACCACCATAATCATCAACAAAAACGAAACAAAACTGTGAGCTAAAACTCAACCAGTGTAAGTAAGCAGATGTTGCTACCAGCTCTGGTGGAGGGACTGAACCTGAGATTGCCAGTTTAAGCCAAATTCCTGAAACTGAGCCAAAGTGATCCTAATTAACTTACCACAAGAGTCAGTAGAAAATAACTCATATATGGATTACCAAGTATTTCAGATAACAGAATTATCTTATATAGTAATGAAATGTTCAAAGGTTTAAAAATGGAATGCCTAAAATAAACACATTATAAGTTATTACAAAAAAGAAGGTAGGCAAAATTGAGATAATTTGAGCATCAATAATAATGAAGGCAATGGATTGGCACACATTGGATATATAAAATCCCATACGTCTATTATACTCAAAAAAGAGAAAGCCAGGGCCAGTCTGGTACAGTGGTTAAATTCACATGCTCAGCTTTGGTGGCAGGGGTTTGCAGGTTCAGATCCTGGGCTCAGATCTACACACCACTCATCAAGCCACGCTGTGGTGGTGTCCCATGTGCAAAATAGAGTAAGATTGCCACAGATGTCAGCTCAGTGACAATCTTCCTCACCAGAAAAAAAAGAGAAAGCCCCACTCTCATCGAAACCAAAATGAAACAGAATGCACACATATACAAAACCTCATGTGTTACTGCTGTAGGCAACTACTATGCAAGACCTTACTCTGAAAACTGGTAATTAAAAAGAAAAAATTAAGATGTATCATGTCTTTCTAGTCAGAATCGAACTCCACGCCCCAATCAATAGCCTCAACTGATGGGGAAGAATTCTTGTTTACAGATATGTAACTATCAGTTGATAAAGGTAGAAAGAACAACAGAAATGGAAAGTTATCATTTTGTAATCTCTAATTAAATAATCGATTCAGGCAAAGATCACCAATAGATGCTAAAATCATTAAAGAAAGATTGAAGGAGAGTTTTATTTTTGCAGGATTTCATGGAATCACACATCCATCCTCCCACTCAAATTACTTGGTGGTACAAGAGGATAAGATAACTCTATCATGGAGAAATCTGGCCATCATCTTAAGTCACTGATCAATCTTAGAACCCCCAAGAGTGGAATACCCTGACAATAGCTGTCTCCTGATATGATGCAATATGAAGTAGTTTTACCTGTGAAGTACTGCTGTCAAAAATGTTTAATCCAGGGGGGATTTGGGGAGAAAAAGCAGAAAGAAAAAAGAAAAAAAGAATCCCTATTTGGGGGCCAGCCCTGTGGCCGAGTGGTTAAGTTTGCGCACTCCGCTTTGGCTCCCCAGGGTTTCGCGGGTTTGGATCCTGGGTGCAGACATGGTACCTTTCATCAAGCCATGCTGAGGCGGGCATCCCACATGCCACAACTAGAAGGACCCACAACTAAAAAAATACAACTATGTACCAGAGGGCTTTGGGGAGAAATCCAGAAGGTGGCATAATTTTAGGAAAATGGCCCTATTTCTTTCAGAAGTCAGTGTCATGAAAGGAAAAAATAGGAAAGGGAGCCATCCCACATTAAAAGCTGACAAATGCAATGTGTGGTCTGTGATTGGCAGGTTTGAACAAAACTGCTGCAAAAGACCTTAAAGTGTAGAAATATGAATATGAAGTGGCTATTAGAGAATATTAGAAAATTATGGGTAATCTTTGGTAGGTAAGGTAACGATATTGTGCCTAGGTAGGAATTATCTAAGTACTTACAGAAGAAATGTTCTGATGTGTATAACTTACAGTAAAATATTTCAGTTTGAAGAAAATGAAAAAATATAGCAAAATATGAGCAACTATTAAATCTACGTGATGGGTGTATGAGGGTTCTTTACTATTCTCCCTACCTTTCTGTATGTTTTTTTAAATTTCATTTAAAAAAATGACTAAGCAGACTTTTAATAGAAACGAAAAATTTGGTTACTGAAATAAAATAACTCAGCATAACAGAACTGTTAAAGTACTTTGTATACTGAACAAGAGACCTGAAGAAATTACTCAGAATGCAGCAGAGATAAAAAAGGGGATGAAATATAGGAAAGGGATGTTAAGAGGGACAAAGGATAGAAGGACAAGGTCTCATCAGAATCCCAAAACAGAGAGAAAGGAAAAGGCACAATATTTGAAGAACTAGTAGCTGACGGTTTTCCAGATATGATTAAAGATGTGATTCCACAGATTTTGTAATGTATACTAAGCAAAATTTTTAAAAACTTAGTTGAAATTGTACTAAAACTATTTAACATTAAAAACTAAGGAAAAAAATCCTAACAGTAGCCAGGGAAAAATAATTGTTATCCTGCAAAATAGCCTTAAAAAAGTAAACGTAAAATAACAACATTTTCGGATAATAATAAGAGTGTAAAACCACAAATAACCTCTAGAGGAACTTCTAAAGGATGTATCTCAGAAAGGATAATAATCCCAAAAGGAAAGTGAGATGAAAAAAGCAATAAAAAGCAAAGAAACTGATAAACATGTATATAAGTCTTTTAAAAATGGTCTGAATAATTTTTAAAAACTTTCTAACTCATAGAGCCAAAAAAAGTAGTCTAGACTAGGCATAAATTGCATGTAAGTGGAGAAGGAGGTGATCAGAGTTAAAGGATTTTAAGTCCTCATATCATTCAGAAGAAGGTTAGGATATTAACTTTATGTTTTAGGAATATATGGTAAAATTTCAAGGTTGATCAAAAAGAACAGAAATAAAGAGTTTTAAAAAACTGTAAAGGATCAAATAAAAATGAAATAAGACAAATAAATATTCTCAAAATTCAACAACTGGGAAAAGTATAAACAAAAAGGAAAAAAAGGCAGGACAAGCAGGAAAAAGTAGCAACAAGATAGAAACAAAAATTCGTAAACCAAACACCAAAAATTCATAACCATGAAGTCCTTAGTGTTTTTATTCTTATAATAATGTTGTTTGGGATTTGACTTCGATGATTCCTCTATTGTTCATTTTAATGAAAAATCAAGTTTTCCTGAACTTTTCAGTAATCACATTGGTGATATTATTAGTGGTGTTATTCTGAGACTACTGTGCTTAATCTGGGATTAAAAAATAAGTAGTTAGGGGATATTTTAATTCTATCATCCCTGTGTCCTCAAGAACCAGCACTCTCAGTGTGGAAGAAGATATAGATGTTACTAGAAAAGAGGTTAGTAAAAGCTCTTGAGTCTTGAATTTGAATTTTCAACATTAACTTGAAATATTTTATCTATCTGAAAATTAGGCAAAGGATAATCAAGCCATTCACCCAAGAAGAACTGCAAACTAAAGATCATGTGTAAAGATACTTGAACTGAACAGTAATAAAGAGAATGGTAATTTTAAAAAGGTATCATTCCAGCCTGGTGGCACAGCGGTTAAGTGCACACATTCCACTTTGGCAGCCCAGAGTCCGCTGGTTCAGATCCCGGATGCAGACATGGCACCGCTTGGCAAGCCATGCTGTGGTAGGCGTCCCACATATAAAGTAGAGGAAGATGGGCATGGATGTTAGCTCAGGGCCAGTCTTCCACAGAAAGAAAAAAAAAAAAAAAAGAGGAGGATTGGCAGCAGTTAGCTCAGGGCTAATCTTCCTCAAAAAAAAGGTATCATTCTTTGCCTACCAGATTGGATAGTATCATTTAATACATTTTTGCCCAAAGCTGAAGAGGATGTAGGAAAATAGACATTCTCAACACTCAAACAAAAAATTGAGCATCCATCAATATGAAAAACTTAGTTGGGGGCCGGCCCAGTGGCGCAGCGGTTAAGTGCGCACGTTCCACTTTGGGGGCCTGGGGTCCACTGGTTTGGATCCCGGGTGTGGACATGGCACCACTCATCAAGCCATGCTGTGGCAGGCGTCCCACAAATAAAGTGGAGGAAGATGGGCACAGACGTTAGCTCAGGGCCAGTCTTCCTCAGCAAAAAGAGGAGGATTGGCAGATGTTAGCTCAGGGCTGATCTACCTCAAAAAAAAAAAAAAAACTTAGTCGAAATTGCACTAAAACTATATAACATTAAAAACTAAGGAAAAAAATCCTTAATAAATGCTTAAAAATGCTAAATAAACACCACCTACACTATGGAATACAATGCAGCCACAAAAAAGACAATTATCCTTATTCATTAACACCTGGGTTTTGCGCTTGTTTGGAGTTTTTGGCTATTTTTCAGACAAAGCTGATGGAAATCTGACTATTAGATATGTAGACATTACTGGAGATTATTTCTAGTACTAATGATAGTTATGGATTCAACTATATTTATTGAGATGTAATAGTTTTCTATTCATTGGTAATATTCTTAAATTCCTAAATAAACACATGCATGTATTCATACATATACACCATAGAATTCTATAGAACTAAATACATTAACATGTAAAGACTTCTTTTTTTTTCTGCTTTTTCTCCCCAAATCCCCCCAGTACCTAGTTGTATATTTTAATTGTGGGTCCTTCTAGTTGTGGCATGTGGGACACTGCTGCAGCATGGCTTGATGCGTGGTGCCATGTCTGCGCCCAGGATCCGAACCCACAAAACCCTGGGCTGCCGAAGCAGAGCACATGAACTCAACCACTTGGCCATGGGGACGGCCCCTAAAGACTTTTAATACATAATCTAAAATGAAATAACACACATTCAAACAAGAAGTATGGTATGATCCCATTAAAATTTAAAAGAGGAGAGAGAGAAGGAGGGACAGAGACAGAAAGATAGACAAATCTGGACTTGGAAACACACTTATCAGACTGTTAATAGTAGTTACCTCTGGGAGTAAAATAAAACTATGTCCTTTCCATCTCTTTTTAAAATAATGAGCATATATTCTTGCTTGAGTAATCAGAGGATAGCAGTATAATAGAAAAAAATACAGTCAGAAGATAAAATTACTTGGGAAAAGAAGATTAATTAGATTTTGGACATGCTGATTGTGAGCTGCTTATGGGAAATCCAGGTAAAGGTCACTAAGAGAGTATTTAGTTAAAAGAGAAGGTTAAGAAAGTTGTTAGAAGAGAAAAAAGTTAAGAGAAGGCTAAGAATCTAAGAAAACTCTACATTAAATGGATAAGGATACTCAACTGAAAACAGTATACTGTAAATAGAATGTCATGAAAACCAAAAAGTATACACCTTTGTAGAACCCTAAATTGTCTGATTTGTATTTAACTTTACTAAACAGTTAAATTACATGAAATAAAGATAAAACCAAACAGGCTAATATGGCCATATCTAAAGGAAATTTGCTTCTTGTCTTATAGCTGGTGAGACTTCAAGGCCAACGTGGTCAGTATTTGCACAATCTTTTTGCACCCTATTTCTTACTAAAATAAGCAGAAGATTAAATCTATACAAAGGGGGAAAAATGACGTGAACTTTTGCCTAAATAAGGAAAAAAATACGTAAACGATCCATTTGATTGCAACCAATTTACTAATAGGTTTTAACAAGAGTACATTATGCTTTGAATACTTAATAAATGAAGACAGGAAACTCACTAAGCTCTGTGATAAGTTTAAGATTCTGCTGCCGGATATTTTCAAACTCCTGCTGTTTTTTCCGCATATGTTCTTCAGTTACTGCACAGCGATCACATAATCCTGCTCTTAACCTACAAAACAAAAATAAAATATTTTTAGAGAAGAACTTCAATGTTCTCAGAAAGAAAGACACAAAGTTAGGTGATGGATGTATTAATCAATCAGATGGTGGGAATCCTTTCACAATGCACACGTCTATCAAATCACTATGATGTACACTTTATTTTACAATTTTTTCAAGTATATTTCAATAAGGCTGAGATTAAAAAAAACAAAATATCAAAATATTTTTCAACTACTAAAAGATATTTACTTATATTTGAACTCCAATATTTTTATACTTTATGAAGATCTAAAGAAGTGATTTGGTAAATATAGAGAAAGTTCACTGGTTTAATGATGTATTATACCTTTAACATATTCTCAAACATGCTGAAATCAAGCTACATCATCATTTCCTACAGACTGCAATTCTGTGAAAATCTATCAATTTAAAACTCTATCCAAGAGAATTTATTTTATTTATTTATTTATTTTTTTAGATTTTATTTTTTCCTCTTTCTCCCCAAAGCCCCCCGGTACATAGTTGTATATAATTCGTTGTGGGTCCTTCTAGTTGTGGCATGTGGGACGCTGCCTCAGCATGGCCTGATGAGCAGTGCCATGTCCGCGCCCAGGATTCGAACCAATGAAACACTGGGCCGCCTGCAGCGGAGCACGCGAACTTAACCACTCGGCCACGGGGCCAGCCCCCGAGAATTTATTTTTTGAAGAAACTGACCTTGTTTTAATTTATTATAGCCAAAATACGAATCCTAGTCCAAGATCAAGGAGCAGAATTATATCTTAAGCAAGCTTGCATCTGCATGCTCAGCACAGCATTATAACACAAAATGATTATTGAACAACTTTTTTAGTCGAATAAATACGAAAGGTCAAGGAATACAAAGTTTTAAAATAAAGTCACCTCATATTTTGCACTTCTCAGCATTAAAAAACCCCCAATGTTAGTAAAAATTCATACTGTACTACCAAGTTAAAAATAAAAAAAAGATTACAAAATAGCTTTTACTAATTATTTGTGAGTGCTGAAGAGAAGAGGGAAAGAAAGGTGTGCTCCAGAATGTTAGTAATAGTTATATTTTAGGTACCAGTATTATAAGAGATTTTCTTCTTAGTGTTTTTCTATTATTTTTCAAAAATGTCTCTTTTGTTCTTCAAATAACTAGGAAAAAACATGGTTAAAAGAGAGACACATACCCTACACTAGGAATTTAGGAAATACATGTTCTAAGATAATTTCAACTCAATAATTAAGTCAATAAGATACTAAGTATTTAAGTGTCTATGGAAGTCACAGCACGGTAGTAATATGCCGTGAATTTCAAAATAAATTAAGGAGATAAAACATGAAAACTGTACAACTAAAACAAACAAAAAGAACCTAGAAATTTTTACATGAAACTAAAATGCATTTCGACATGTTGATAAGGATGTAAAAAATAAAGATTAGAGATCATAGGTTGCATTAATAGAATTAGAATTTCTAGAATGAAGGAATAAAGAATTGGGCATATGGTTTAATTGGAGTACGTTCTGAAGACAGAAATTAGCATGATCAAGCTCTTTGAACTGCAGTGTATGATGAACAACATCTAAGATGATAAGGTGAACACTTGCACCTATTTTTGCTCCCACCCCAAATCCCACAAAACTGCAGTAAAGATATATGTATATTTTTAAAGACAAAAGCCCATGAGGACAGGGAAAATAGGAGAGAAAACAAAAAAAATAGAAAGCAAGGTAGCTAGTAGACAAACAGAAACTGACCTGAGAATGCTGACTCCTAAGCTAATGGTGGGGGAAAATCTAAAATCATGATGTCCAATATGGTAGCCACAGCTACATGTGCCTATTTCAATTTAAATAAATGAAAATAAAATAAAAATCAAGCTCCTCAAGTCACACTCAAGTGCCCAACAGCCATATGTGTCTAGTCACTACCATAGTGGACATACTGGACAGATACAAAACATTTCCATTATCACAGAAAATTCTATTAGACAACACTGAGCTAGAACCAACTCAATTTACACTAGAATTCTCAGAAGGTTCAAAAACCGATAGCAGGAATAACTGACTTAAACTATGTTTCAAGAAATTATCATAGTGACATATTCTCGCCTATATTCTGAGCAGTCAAGTGATTACCCCATTCCCAGCAGAAGACTGGAGTGACTTCATCTCTAGAGAGTCTAAAACAGAGAGTGTCTGATCTGGGAGACAGCAGGTACAGCTGAGGGTAGGAGTACAACAATGAAATGAGTGCATATGCACACCAAATTCTCAGCCCGAGCCTAGGCCCTCGTCGTCTACTTGGCGTCCAGAAGGTTGGTAGCCAGCCCTAATATACATTCTAGGAAGCAGATGTAAGGACACTTCTGTAGGAACTCTGACCAGCCTAAGAGGAAAGACCTAAAGATAACTGACATTAGGGAATCATCAGTGAAACAGACCAGATGACAGTACAGTGAAGCTCAGAGTGAAGCTCTCTCTCCACTGGGAGCTTCTAATCAACTTTTATCCCCCTCTCTTAAATATAAACAGATAACGAAGTACCAACAGACATCTGAGAAAAGCTTATAAAGTGAAGGAGACTAAAGCAAACAGGATATTAAAAGAAAAAAGGGGCTGGCCCGGGAGCACAGCGGTTAAGTGTGTACGTTCTGCTTCAGCAGCCCGGGGTTGGCCAGTTAGGATCCCGGGTGAGGACATGGCACCGCTTGGCAAGCCACGCTGTGGCAGGCGTCCCACATATAAAGTAGAGGAAGATGGGCAAGGATGTTAGCTCAGGGCCAGTCTTCCTTAGCAAAAAGAGGAAGATTGGCAGCAGATTCTAGCTCAGGGCTAATCTTCCTCAAAAAAAAAAAAAAAAGAAAGAAAGAAAGAAAAGAAATATAGGCTACGTAGGGAGAAGAAAAAGATAAAACACCAACACCACCAAACTATAAAGAATACTCTCAGAGAAAGAAAAACTACCAATCTATGAAATGAAAACAGGATTGCCATAAAAGGATATATAGTCTGAGAACAAAAAAAGATCTTAGAAATTAAAAATATAACAGCATAAAAAAAAAAAACAAACTCAATAGAGGGTGAGAAAATAAAGTTGAGAAAAATTTCCCCAAAAAGCAGTGTAAAAATGCAAAGAGAAAAGCTAAGAAAACTAGAAGATTATCCAAGAAGGTCCGTCATTTCAGTAATAGGAGTTCAGAAGCGTGGAGCAGTGGGGAGGGAGGCAGAAAAGGAGAAACAGAGGAACAAAAGACATAAGACATATAGAAAGCAAAATGACTGCATAAATCCAACCATATCAATAATAACATTAAACATGAACTGATTAAATACTCCAATCAAAAGGCAGAAATTATCAGACAAAAAAATAAGATGCAACTATGTGCTGTCTACTATAGACGCATTTCAGATTTGAAGAAACAAATAGGCTGAAAGCAAAAGGATGGCAAAACATATACCACACAAACAAAAACCAAAAGAGAGCTGGAGCATCCATGCCAATTAATATCAGACAAAAAAGACTTTAAGATAAAAAAGTGTTACTAGAGACAGTGAATTTTATAATAAAAGGGACAGTTCACTAGAAAAATATAACAATTATCAACACATAGGCATCTAACACTAGAGCCCCAAAATACACAGAGCAAAAATTGACAGAATTGAAGGAAGAAACAGAAATTCAACAATAGGTGTAGACTTGCACTACCAATAATGGAAAGAAAATCAGCATGGATATAGCAGACTTGAACACACTAACAACCACCAGACCCAACGACACCTACAGAACACTCCAGCCAACACTGCAGAGTGCATTCTTCTCAAGCACACTTCAAACATTCTTCAGGGAAGACCATTTTCTAGGTCACAAAACAAGTCTCAATAATTTTAAAAGCGCTGAAATTATACAAAGTGTGTTCTCTCACCACAGTGGAATTAAATGAGAAATCAACAACAAGGAAATATGAAAAATCCACAAACATGTGAATCTTAAACAACGCACTCCTAAATAAACAATGACTTAAAGAAGAAATCACAAGGGTAATTATAAATATAGGCCCATAGCTGAGTGCCAGTGCCCCAGTGTAAAATCCTACCCCCATTGGGGGGCCCTCCAGGCCAAAGGATGGATAGCTCCCCATTTTCTTAATGAAAAGTAAAGCTCCCATGCCATACAGAGAGCCCCCAGTCCACTTCCTATTCATAGGAAAACTCCCGGGAAAGGGAGAAAGGGGAAGGGCTGGGGTAAAAACAATACACAAAAGCAGAGGACATAATGCCAACTATGCAGAAAATTCAACCCAGTCTCACATGCTTAAATACAGACAACCAAAGATCACTAACGTATGAAGCAAACCAGTAACATGAAAGAGAGAAAGTAAAATAAATAGAACAACTGATCCTGGAGGAAAGTACCAATTCAGAGGACACAAAATAATTTTTGGTGGGGGGGCGGGGGGAAGGGAGCTGTCTAGTATCCCCAGAAAAATGAGAAGTGATATAGCCATAAAACAAAAAACAGACACACACACATATGAAGCAATGATCAATAAAACCAGTTCTTGGTTACTAAATGTGATTATCAAAATACTTCAGTAGTAGAGGTGGAGAATAAAATAAATCTTCCAGAACATGGAAAAAAACCAAAGAACATAAATAAGAAAAAAAATTATAAGGGATCAGTTTATGACCAAGAAATGCTCCAGAAAGAGAGAACATACAAAAATGGAGAGGAAATCATAGGAAAAAAACTTCCAGAACTTAAGAGATACCAGTCTTCAGGTTAGCAGGATGAGTGTCCAGTACAATAAAGGAAACACACAGACACACCCTTCATCATGAAGTTTCAAAACAAGCATAAGAAGATCTTAAAATCTAGACAGGAAAAAATCCTACTATCTACAAAGAAATGAACATTAGAATGACACCAGTCTTCTTATCAGCATTGGATGCTAACAGAAAATGAAAAAAAAGTCTTCAAAGTTTCGAGAGAAAACTA